TTCCTGAGAGGATGAAGTGAACGTTCGGAACCCGCACCTTTTGGTGTATTAAACTTGTATTTCTGTAGTTCGGCTGCCTCGAATGTACGGCAATAATCATGAGCAGTTTGCAGCGTTAAATCTGGTTTCTTCAGCAGTTCACCTCGCAATTCGTCTGACAAAACTCCTCCCACAATACGATCACGAATGAGCGAATCTCGAAGGTCGCCAAATTCACAAGTTAACGACAGTCTTTTCAGTTCACTGACGAAATTGTCAATCCTCTCACCTTCCTTCTGGTTTCGCTGATTAAACAGCAGCCGCTCATAAATTACATTTCTAGCACCCTGGCACAATTCCTCGAATTTGCGACAGACATCTTGATAGGAATCTTTGTCTTCTTCATCGGTAAACACAAAGTGACTGTACTCTTCGATAGCTTCTGGTCCAGCACAATGTAACAACATATTTACCTTGAGTTTGTCCGCTTTATCATCTTTACCTTTCGCAACAAGGTAAATCGCAAATTGCATGAAAAATTTCCTCCAGTTCTCCGCAGCATTCGCGTCTAGGAGCAATGGACCTGGCATTCGAGAATCTCGCTCGGCCATTATACAAGATACAAAAATACAACTCAACAGGAAACTTGTTTGTCCCATCAACTCGTCCAATAATTTCTCACAGTTCGGCGGGGCAGATAACCACTGTCATCCCACTTCTGACACCATGTTATAAGATCATTCAATGAAGCTAAATTCAACAACTTTATAAAGACTATTCTAACATGTTCGAGTCCCGAGCAACTCAAAAAACACAACGCACGCGGTTCCCCGTTTTCGGGGTGCGCATGTAAGTCAGTCAGGGGCCCCTAAGGGGGATCCCCACAGGTTTCAATGTTACAACATGTATTACATGGTCTTTCTCGTGTAAATTCGTTAGGATGCAACAACTTTAAAAAATGTTGGGAGTTGTTGGCCAAAAATGTTGCGTCCGTTTTCACCGGGCTATAAGTTTGATCGGTTTAAAACTTTGGGCAACAACATGCAACAGGGTGTGCAAATGGACGCAACATGTAACATCGAACAATGTTAGGAGTTGTTGGCCAACAATGTGGCGTCCGTTTGCTCGGAGCTTTACGATTATGTCCTGTAAGCTATTTTGTCTATGTGTACTTAACAATGTATTTTGATTACATTTAAGTTTGGTTTTTAAGCTACGTGCAAACGGACGAAACAACTCCCAACAATGTTGGGAGTTATTGTGTCCGCGTTGGCAATTGGTGTGCAAACGGATGTAACAACTCCCAGCAACATGCAACAACGTACATGCAACAGGGTGTGCAAACAGTAACATGTAACATCCAACAATGCTGCGTCCGTTTGCACGGGGCTTTACACAGCACCATATCTATAGAACTGTGGCTATATGCGAGTCTAGTATATTCTAAACCCTGTGCGTGTCCCTTTTTTCAGATGCCTATGGGGAATACTAATAAAACTAAGTACAAGGTACACTGAAAAAAATAAAGCGAGGACGATTAAAGTTGAAAATTTTATTTCGAAAAAATACTTGCTTCTCGTCGTTCAATATTTTACATTTGTTTATTATTCATTTAAAATATTCCGCTGTTTCTGATTGGCTCGAAGCCCCCAGCTAAAATTTCATAACCAGCTTTGACCAAATTTGGAAGATGCGAGCAATAGGACAATAGGATGGTATATTGGCTTGGAAACGAGGTTGATCGATAATATATTTGTCTGGAAACGAGGCTGCATTGGCAATAGACCATCTATCAACCTCGTTTCCAGGCGCGGCGCCTAGCTATTTGTACACGTGTGAACTAATAAACATGGCGTCCACGGCTATCTGATAAGGCGATAACAGCCTCCTCGATCGGCATAATTCTTCACAAAATATTTTCTTTTGTAACCCGAACCCCATGCTCGGGACCAAATGAGAACCTAGGCACATAAAGAAATGTTCTTATTTAGCAAACAAGCTATCGTTCCTAGTAATTTTCATTCCTCTATTTATTTCTGCTCAATTTTATCCGCGTCTTTGTCATGTACCTGAGAAAGCCAAATTGACGTGCATTATATTAGGTATCGTTTTCGCCGGTGACAAGCGTGGCAGATAGAAACGCAAATATTTTAGAATCTTTAAAGCAATAGCCCCTATGCATGATTACGTCAGACGAGTAAATTTCACCAACAAGCCTCGTTTGTGAACAAAATTTTTTGCATTTGCACTTTTTGTGCGTGGGTATTCTTTTCAACTCTACTACCTTGGGAATTCATTTCTGTGAAACTTCGCTTATTTTTAATTTCGAGGCTTGGTGGTGAAATTTGCTTGTGTGACGTAAACATGCATAAGGGCTATTGGTTTCTAAGTTTATCATCAATATTCATGTTGAATTGCGAAAAGTATCACATACCAAACAAAGGCTCGGTTTGTTGAGGTCACTGAATAGTGCGGATGACAGAATCCTTGTCTCAAAAGAAAATGTCGAGAGAGTGAAATTGAGGGGACTTAAGATACGCAAGGCTTTCAGAGAATTATCTATAGTCGCATGATTTTGCTCCATAAACTGAAATAATTTTCCTTCCATTTCAATCGAAAGGAAAGAAGTCGCACAAGTCGAAAGAGGGAGGAGGAGAGGAAGCAAACCAAGAGTAGTTAAAGAAACGTCAACTTAATTGGTAAACACTTAATTTAAACAGTTTTTTTCGAACTCTGTCTTGAAGAACTAAACGAATATTCAACATTTACTTGAATAAGCAAAGACGCGGTTATCCCTTTTGCTAGAAAACGGCACACAAAAATGTATACAAGCAGAAATAAAGATTGTTGATCGATAGGAGAGGAGCAATATTAACGGGTTAAACTCCGCAATGGAGAGGTCCCTTTCGTTGTACATTCATGGATCTCAATTTTTGTTTTAACATTTGCAATTATTGCATTTTAAGTTTTGCTTACAGAGAAATGGAAATTAATTTTGAAGTTCAAATAATGTGCAAATAGTCGCGAATGTTAATTTGTTTGGAAATTTGAAAGTAAATAAAATTATTCTCACCAAAAATATGTTGTTTCCTTTTTTTTTTTCAGATAAACAGCAGTCACGTGGAACATGCTAGGAAAAAAAGTAAGAATCTCGAAAGGCAATCACAGAGTTAGAAGAAGAGCTTCAAAATTAAGATAAGAATATATTTTTTTAATATCATTAACAAAATAGTGGCCGAAAAAATGTGCCTTTTACACTAATTCCCTAGGGTAACAGGCCACATTAGAGGCACATCAATTAGAAACTACGTTTTCAATTCGTGAAAAGCAGACTACTGAATTAAGGTCAGGTATGATACAAGATGTCCTCTCCCAAAATACTTTTATCAACCTCTATTATCCCGAAAAAAGCTGGATCACAATTTCAAACAGCGTCTAAATTCAGGTTTAAATAAGGGATGGAAAATGCTGCAGATGATAACAATAATTCACAAATGTATCGACAAAAAGGTTTCACTTGCAGTTTGAACCAATTAAAGCATAAAAGTCTGTACCATAAGAAAACGCTACTCTGAGCTTTCTATTCGAACTGGTCGCGCTTTAAGATTTTCATCCACGACTTGAACCTAAGATTGATTAAGGTTGTTCCTTGGTATTGCATTGCGCATCATTGCTGTGTATAATTTCACTCGTAATAAACGCGCGCACATTTAAACGTGGTGACTTTTGCGTTAAGGCTGTAGCTCCCCAAAGATGTAAATCTGTTGCCGCGTGCAAGGGAAGAGGACATGCGTAAAGCCTACAGGTAGTTACCATACAACCATTCTCGTCGCCAGAGCGACTCAAAAGAAACGACGGGCTCTGGGGACCAGAATCAGTGCCATATACAACATGGGCGAAACTAGAAATTTTCCAGAGAAACTCTACCCTGTCTCCTAAATCGTTTTCACACCGGGTGACTTGTCACAGTACAGTGAGGCAATCAAGGTTTCTTGGTCTTAGAACCTTGTTCTTTAAGCGACAGTTGAGACTTTGGCTGTGACCCTGGCTGTGACAAAATCGGAGATAACACTCTATTTTGTTTTACAAGATAATCTGAAGGAATAAGTTGCAGTGGCGTTAAATAGGTAACTGTACGGTTTCTAGCTATCCCTTATTTACCCTCTGATCATTTTGCTTTTTTTCAATTTTTTTGCAACCCGCAGATGGCGCACAGGTAGCAGTACGCCCCTGTACAATTGTCTTTATTTCATCCAAGTTATCAGAAAATTTGTTCAGGCGTTCGCGACGATCACATGGAAACACTTATGATTGGATGCGCAAGGGTCCGGTCAACTGGGCGACTTTGTAATTTTACTTTATCTAACAATACCAGAGGTATAGCGGGCAGGTGAAGCTTCCAATCATTCGCGCAAGTCTGTAGGGAGCTTTAGCATCGCGACGGGAACGGTAGCGAAAACATCACTCAAAATGTGAAATCGCGCTGCTTCAAACATGTTCGCTCCTATTCCACCTCCTTTCATTTAATTGTCAAATGTTAGCGAACTTTAAAAGACTGTATCTAAGTTCAAGAAAAAAAAATTGAATCGTTTTCTCGTGTTCACGTCCCTTTAAAATCGTGAAGTGTGGCAGTTTCAAAAATATTTTTCTTTCGCCCTTCGGGCCTCAGTTTGGTCTAAAAATAAGGCGGGTGCCCGACCCCCCGGGACCCTCCCCTGGATCCGCCACTGCATAATAAACAAACCCATGTCTTTTTGCCGCTCTCATTCCCGTCACCGCAGTCGTTACTAAAGCTCCCTTCTGGCAAGGGGAAAAGGCCCGCCGCCCATATTTCAGGCCTTGCGTGGACGTCCTCTTGCTGTATAACCTGACACTCTGGTATAAGGTTATATCATTCAGTGTCAAAATGGCCCCTGCTGTTTAAAGTTTGAATAGCGGTATCCAACGGATAAATCACCGGATAAATCTTCCCGCCACACTCTCAACTCTTGCTTTCCTGAGAAGAATTGAACAAAGTAATAGGTTGCTGTTGTTGTATTTAACTTTATTGTACTTGCTGAGTGAAAACAGTAAATTTCTTTGTTTTTATTATATAACTGGCTATTTTTCCTTAATTAATGCAATCACGGTTCGTGGTGAGTTAGATGGACATTTTTTAAAGTGAAAATTAGAATTTTAATTTTATGCCAACAACCAAATGAGGTCAAGTCTATGGCTCAAAGAAATCAAATTTAACAGTTTCTGCTTAGAAAGGAAGTTTAAACGATTCATTTATGATTACTCCGTAAGGTGTGGACTTAGTACTCCAATCTTTCCTTCTAATATACAATCACATAAATGGTTTTAGGCCAAAATTCCCACACACGCAAAATTAAAGTTTGAAAAGCTAACTAAAATATCCAATCAGTCGCCATCCATGTAATCATAAAGTAAGGTCACGAATACTGTACTTATACCCATATTTTTGTCAGGTTAATCAATTAAAAAATAGATATTATAAGATAATCACAAGGAAAAAAACCTGAATCTCGTTGTGCAGGAGTACTTCTACAATGTAGTTTTTCGCTAGTGCCAAAACCATGTACACACTATGAAATGCGTTTCTAGAAACCTTTCTTTTTTCCCTTTCACACTCAACGTCCACACATAGAATAGAAAGCGGAAACCACATGCTTAAACTAAAACAAGAGACCTCTATACTCTATTCAAACATGCCCACTAAAGTGAGCGTTTTGTTTTCTTTTTTTAAAAAGTGAAAAAGCCTTTGTTTTTGGAGGCTTCAGTGTCGATTTTAAGACCAAACCATCGAAGGATTTGAATTTTCTTCCACGTCACTTTAACAATTTTCAGATCCATCAGCTATACTACTCCACAATTCACCCCCTGAAAGGGACAATGACCATCCATTCCTTTTAGGATAACAGTACTATTTACGAGGTTTAGAATTCCAACCGGGCCGCACTAGTTTATTTCTTGGGACCTGCCGTGAATTAGTTGATGATCCAGAAATAGAAGCCATAGCCATCATCTCACTCAGTGTAACTTGAGAGGAAGCTTGAGTCTACGAACGGGTGGAAAGAAAACAAAATGAACTAACCACTCATTAGATAGTTGACAGAGATAATGTATGTGTATTTTAAATTTGATATGTTCTAGCCGAGATCTATCCAAGACATTCATCGACTTAAAATGACAAAATAACTTGTTAAACTAGTTTAACCACCTTAACATAACACGTGATCTTATCTCAATGAAATTTCCCACTTTTTATTTATTAGATATAGACAAGAGGCTATGACTTTAGCTGTAATGTATTCTTTTGTAAGTAACTGAGATTCCTGCAGAAAAAAGGTTAAATTAGTGCACCCTATACTACTACCGGTATCTTTAGAACTAAGCAAACTTAGCGGAATCTGGGCTGTTCATGTACGTCTTAAAAAAGACATACATGAGTAGTCCAATAGTACAAAAGTAGTCAAAAAAGTTCTTTCAATGTATGATGTCCACTATTTACCATTGTGCAATTTTTTTTACACAGTACGCACCTGTTGTGTCACATGGTCTGTTGTGGCTGCAAAACAATCTGGGCACTTAGTGACGCCTTCCCCTTTAATGCGCTCCGCAGCAGAATAAACATGTGCTGTTTAAAAGATCGAGGAGGTTAGTTTTTAAGTAGTTTAACGAGGGAGTTATGGGAGTAGTTTAAGTTGTTTATACAAGGGAGTTGTGCAATATAAGAAGTGCATACTTCAATTGGTTTGGGGTGCAGGCGCGATGTTTCTTATGTTTCTTGTCTCGTTTCAGTGGTTCCGGTTGTTGTTTTTCGATAATAATTTATTCATGGATAGTTGTGGAAAAGGTGACTCATAAGGGTGGAGAATGGAAAACTATTCCATCAAAAAAGGCTCCGTCCCCTTAATTACTTACACGTATAACATGTAAAAAAAATCTGTTGTTGTTTTGACGTGGTAACACTGTATAGTTGTTTAAAGATTTTTATGAGATACCTTTCCCACACTTGTACCAGGGTCCTTTTACGAGGTTCCTGCTCCTCATGGTCACTTTCTGTAACTCTGCGTCGAAGCCAGTGTCCTCCACGTTCTTGAAAAGCCCGTATTTCTGCTTAAGTTTGGTAACATCAGCCATAAACTCTTCCATTTTCTGTCGATCTTTAAAAGTGGTCATATTAAGCCGAGATTAAATTGACTTGTTTCCGTTAACATTACTTATAAATTAGAATGGAGGGCAATATAACTTTTTAAAACTGGTAAATAAAATTGAATAGGCTCTACAATAATTAGCTTAAAACAATTGAATGAATAGCATTCAATCAAGTCAAGCGTAACAAATGCATTAACTCTTTACTGGGATTGCTGTACCTCCAATTCAGTGGAGTGTTGCACGGAAGTAGTGCCACAGAGGCGATTTCAAAATTATAATCTAACCAAAAACTCAAAGGCTAAAGAAAAAAATACGGATTAAATTACACAAAAGGCCAAGGAAAACACACTGAAGTAAGTCTAAGTAGTCCGTGTGTCTGAAAGGATTTTTTGTTATTTATTTCTCGGTCGAGAAGGAAGCAATGCAATATCAAGGAATTGGAAACTTATTTCCACACTCGATTAAGCAACCTCTATCACCATGTTGATAAGCCTGAGAAAACAGCCGACATTTGGCGACGCTACCATTGGTTTCCCCGCCAAATGACGTCTGAGAAACGAGCGCAGAAATTCCATACTGATGACGCGTCACTAACCAGATCTAGTTAATGCTTTTGATTGGTTGAATCAAATTTTCCATGAGGCACGACCAATCAGAAGCACTACCCAGATCTCGGCAGTGACGCGTCATCACTATGGAATTTCTGCGCTCGTTTCTCGATCAGACGTCATTTGGCTGAGAAACCAGCGGTAGTGTCGCCAAATGTCGGCTGTTTTCTCAGGCTACATGTTGCTATCGTCGTTTACCTATTGCTTCTCCCGACTCCAATGCAGCTTGGGTACAGGTGACACAACTATTGTCTGCAGAATTCAACTTTACGGCTTTGCTTTCCAAGAAATTCTTTAACCCTTTGAAAGAAACTAAGAGCCTTATTCTTAGAAGTTCTTCCCAAAATTCTTTGATTTCCTGCTCACTCAAGTGAACACTTTCCACCAATCGAGATTTCAAAGGTCTGAGTTTTTCAGAAAGCTTTAAGTCGTGTCCATCCTTCGTCGAAAGACTGTGAATGGTATCCAGAGCCTTCAACAGAGTGACTTGATTTTGAAGCTTCGTAACTTCTTCGGATGTTAAACTTCTTTCAGTTTTGATCGACCGAGTTATCTTTAAAGCCTCCGTCTTGAATTCTTTGATTTCTTGGACATCCACCAAAATCCTATGAATTTGTTCTCTGTCGGCCACATTTTGGAGAAGCATTCGACGCTTTATAGCTTCAAAATCAGCACGCGTCTTTAAAATAGTCAATCTATATCTATGACTTGACAGAATTGGGGTTTGGCACTCAGGTTTTGGACATAGCTTATGTTTGATTTCAACTTCTTCACTTTCACGTCGTCCAAATTCTGGTCCTTCAATCCACTTGTCTAATTCCCTCACTTCAAATACATGACTACAGTCATTTAGTTCAATGAACATAGCTCGCGACTCATTCCCCTTAAATTCACCAGCTTCTTTATTGCAAACGCGGCACAGCTTTGGACACTTTTCACCACAAACACCGATACACGAATGCCCGCAAGTTAGCTTCTTTTGGCATGGCTCCTCACAAATTGTTCTGTTAGCGCATATTTCTCCGCAAGGCACCAATAGTTTTTGATGCGGACATTCCCAGGAGTATTCATGTTTACACTGTTCACAAGGATTGCCACAGCTCCTTTTACACTTTTGGTGCTCACAGTAGTTTCTACATGGCAATGAACAAGGTGGGCAGGCACGGACACAGAAGTCTTGACAGGTGTGACCGCAAAATAGGATACGACTGCACTTGGACTTACATGGTAAGTGAAAGCGACCTTGTTGACATTTACTGCAGTTACCTGTTGAAGAACAAGAAAAACTCTTGAGGACTTTCGTGAATACAATGAAGCTGTTGGTACAACGATGCTAACGGATATTGACGAATATCGGTGATTTGTGATAACTCGACGTCTGGAATGTCGTCGCTCGTGGTATGTTTATGGAGAAAAGTTTTTCCTAGTAAAAGGGACACCCGCCTACCTTAGCCACCATGGCAGAGTCAATTTTTCATGAATTTCCTTACAAAACAAGGCAAACCGTTTACATGAGAATCAAAAGGTTGACTCGGCTAGAAGGGTTACCCGCCTATTCGGGTCACGAGGCTGGATTTCATAGATTTACCATACTGATAAGAGACTGCCCTCAATTCAGCTTAAATCATACTGAGCATAGCTCCAGTTTCTTACCGACACATGGGTGACCACACTGTAGTTGACCACAGGGCTCTTTGCATACAATGTCATCAGGAGATTTGGAACAGGGCACCTTATTGATATGACCACAGGAGGAGGCTTTCTTTAGCACCATCTTCGTACACTTGAATGCAGATGGATCTTGAGAACAGGGGACTTGTTGCTCATGTTCGCATTCGGGGATAATCTTTTTTACTTTTTCCATGCAAGGACCACATGGTTGGCTGCAAATCTTATGACACCTGTGCCCACAGGAAGCTTTCGTTAGCACCATCTTCATACACATGAATGTAGATGGATCTTGAGAACAGGGGACTCGTTGCTCATGTTCGCATTCGGGTATAATCTTTTTTACTTTTACCATGCAAGGACCACACGGTTGGCCGCAAATCTTATGACACCTGTGCCCAAGATGGCATAAAATTTTAGAGCAAGGTTGCTGGCAAGCGAATTGGTCGTTGTGTTCGAGATCTAAGGGATGACAGGGATGTTTACAAATGTGACCACATGTTAGCTTCATTTCGCATTGTTTTGAACAGCCTCCTTCAGGCGCTTTTTCAAAATCTTCTGGGGTTGATGCCAAGATCATATTTTCTGGGTGGTTCTGACAGGAAAGCTTCAGCTCCCTACCCATGCTTCCTTGTTCTTGCATATCTGCGAAGATGTTTCTCCACAGGTCGCTGTTACGTGCCAACAGCGTGGCATTTCCTATGATGAAAAAGCCTTTACGAGCACGGGACAACGCGACACAGACCCTGTTTGCGATCTTTAGGAAACCAATTCTGTCACTGCGAACAAGTGATAGAAGAATGATGTCATTTTCCTCTCCTTGGAAATTGTCTACTACAGTGACGCGGACTCCCTCAAAGAATTTTTTTGCCTTCGAAATTGCAATGTTCGACATCACTTGTTTCAGCTGGAAAAGTTGCCCACTGTAGGCCGCCAAAATTGTAATCTGATCCCGCCGATAACCTTGTTGGATAAAGTAGCGGCACAAAGCAGCCAGGAATCTTGCTTCGTGTTTGTTTTTCTTACTTTTCCCTTCATGGACAAAGTCCTGCCGACGTAAAAAAGGTTAAATTCAAAGGAATTTTTATCAAGAAGCTCTGTTCACTAACTACATGTATAGAGCATGTCTTGTTTAGTCTTGAATCTGCGTTTATTTAATGACCCAGTACGTCAAATCTCTTGAAAGTTATAAAAATGGTGGAGGGGTGTGCCGGTAAGGCTTCCTACTTTGCCTGAATTCATCACTAAATTATTTTGAACTGGAAACTCCATCTCTAAACACTAATTCAGAGTATCTCTAATTCTCCAAAGATTTTGAACAAGGGTCAAGATTTCCCGATGCTGAGAATAGTAAAGGGGAGTAAAGGGAGTTATCCTTTTTCCTGTTCTTGAAGAGGTGGAAAATAACAGGCAAATGTAATTTTAACGAAGTGTATATATGCAGCATAAAGATTTCTTTTCTCTCCAGAACCTTTCATCAACGGCAACCACTGACTGAGTTTTTGACCTCTTGTAAGAAATAATCCATTATAATGACATCTTACTAGAAGTTTGACTGAACATTTAGTGGAATCTAATTAAATGCCATTTGGCAGTGTGTACTACCGTAAACAGGTAATTCCATTTTCATGAGGAAAAAAATAGTTTTAGTCACCTCAGGTGTATTGTGATCAACAAAAAACAAATTTCGCTGCACTCCTTTGATGGATTCAAACTTCAGCACAGACTCGTGGTTTTGTAGTTTTGGGTTAACGTAAATGTGATCCAACATCGTAGCAATTTCCGGTCGCATTCTGTGCTGTAAACAAAGTCTTGAAAACTGTATACCATTCTTGATCATTCTCTCAAACAGAGACACATCAAAGTTGTACTCGATCTGAAGATCGTACACCGTGGGACTGGGACGAAGTTGTTGATGATCACCAATTAAAATCAAGTGCTGGCACCCAGGAGTTAGAGATGTAATTATATGCGCTTCCAGCACTTCAGCGGCTTCCTCCACAATTGTAATCGCTGGTTTTATATCCTGCAACACGTGGTGGTACCGAGCTGCACCTAGAAGAACAAGTGGAGGTTGCCGTTACTAAAAGGGCAAATATTGACATTTTAGTGGTTAGGGATATGTGAATAACCTTTAATAGGGCGAACTGGAAGAGGGCTCAATGGTATGGGTTTTTTATCGCCTTTATTGTGTTTTACGTAAGCGTGAAACAGCACTATTTGCAATAGCCTGCATTGCCGGCATATTTTCTCGGAAGCAATGTAATGCCGTGGCCGCCATAACTGAGGAGACTGGTAAGAGTAGAAATATCCCCCCGGTGTCGAAAGGAAGATACGGAAGAGGGAGGCGAGACAAAAATTGACCTCTTGTTAATTGAGATATACTTTTTATTTTATACCATCATAGTACAGAAAGACCAAATAAACATGTCGTATGTCGATTTTATGAAACTCCGAGCTGAGACTCAGGAAGTCATAAGCATGTTGATGTAGAGTTAATTACATTATATTTAGTCATGAAGCCCTACCATATAAAGTTAAATTGTACGCAAGTTCGGGAGCCAGTTACCTAATCACTTGAGGCATTGACAGTAGAGATAAAATTTGTCTAGAATAACTGTTAAGCTTTCGTGCTTACCTGTTGTGGTCATTCCGACGACATCGGCCCAACTAAGGATCCTAAGATCCTCTTCGTCTTTTATTTTTTTGAGCTTGGCCGCTTTGATGTCAAAAAGTTCTTGTAATTCAGAAATGTTTACGTGCCATTTCTCGCGAGCATCGTATACCCATCTGCGATACAGCCGCCAGCGGTCTATTTCAGACAACTTCCACGTATCCTCAACCTAAATTGATAAACTTATTTATTCATTAACTAATTCAGTAAGTAATTAAAGCAATCCAGTGAGGTATCGGTGATAAAGAAAATGTAACTTAATCCCTCCTGAACACTAGCGAAACAAAGCTGACGAGTTTTAAAATTCACAGCAATATTTTCATTTACTGTGTTAATTAGCTCTTGGCTGTAATTCGTTTTATGAGAAAAGCAATTTACGTCCTGTAAGGGTTGTCTACAAGGCTTAGCATTTGTTTCATAAGATTTAAAATTTATCTTATATTTAAGTGTAAAAAGAACTTTTCACATTTGTCACCAAATTGCATCCAGTCAAAGCGGTCACAAGAGACGGAAACGATACCTGATTAGCTTCTTCGTCGCTCATAACGTCTTCACTATTAAGCTCTCTCTGAATTCGCTGCTTGATCCTCTGCTTAATTCGGCTGGGATTCTGGAACTGCCAGCCGCCACCTCTGCTGCATCCGCTAGCACCTGTCGTATTAGGACTATTCATTTTAGTTTCCGTCTCTGAGCGCTTGTCGCCAAACCTTATGACGTCTAGATCATCGTCAAGAATCCTCTGATCTTGCATGACAATAGCCTCAAACCTGACATCTGGGACTCGTTCGACTCCGTCACTAATACCTTGCAACTCCCCGTCTGTTACTACTTCTCCATTAGCGTCACCGATGAGACCATTGCCATTGATATTCTCATTATCTTGATCTTCATCTTTATACTGTGCAATGTCATTTTCAAGCTTCTCGTCAGCTTCGACGATTACAATCTTCTCGTCGAGGTTGCATTCCTCTGTGCAAAAAAAAGAAGTTCGTTAAAGTTTCTTTTTAGGTTTAAATAAAATAAAAGGTGAATGGTTTTTGTGAAGAAGGTGTTAAGGCAGGTGAAAAAGAAATTTGGACAGTGACTCTGGACAGCTGAGGGAACGTTCCCTCCACAAGGAGAGCATGATCGCAGGCTAACTGATCACTGCCAGCAAGGGAGGTAAAAAGAAACTGCAACTTATGTTCATGAAGGTTTGCTTTTCGTTAGCTATAAATATTCATCTAACTTAGAAAAAAACCCTTTTTGACAAAGTGGCCGTAGTTCTTAAATACATCAAAGGCGAACAAACTTTTATCGCCTCCAATCCCTAGGCCTGCAAACTGTACATCTTCTACCTTTCTCTGAAATGCATCCAACAGCTTGAATGTTTTCAACCGTCAGCGCCTCGGAATATATGTGCAAGTGCGAGATCCTCCCTGTAAAGAAGTACTCTTGCCAAGGGTTGTTCAATGCGCCAATTCTGATCGGGAACTGTGTAGCCAGCTCGAATCCTGAGCCTATCAGTAAAGCTTCTACTTCTTCCCCATTGTGCCATAGTCGTGCTATTCCAGTGTTGTAATCGTAGGATACACCAATATAATTCCAGGCATTAATGTTCAAAACGGCTTTTCTTATGGGAATTGCCAGTGTCAAATCCCTTCTAACAAACCAAGCCGTCAGCATCCCCGTACCGTAATTCAAAGCTTCTGGAGGTAGAGGCTCTTGCCAAATTTGAATGCCAAATCCACATGTCTCATAGGTGATGATTGGTCCACAATCTCCCAAAGGGTAGACAAACGCTAGTATTGTAATGGAAGTTTTAGCGTCTGCATAGCCACCATCGAAATTTGCAATCTCTATAAAGGAGGTGTGATTTCCGATTAGTTCCATAGATCCTCTTGGTATCCCATCAGCACCAGAAGCTGGAGGGACGTTTGGAGATATATAGGCTAAGTTTTGTTGGGAGAAATATTCCAGTCCCCCACAGTCAGCGTTGAAGGGAAACATAGCAAGTGGCTTCGAAAAACCTGAGAATAAAAATGTAAAATGATAAGCAGCGCAACCACTTCATCTAAAGCTATAATACTAGAGCTATCCTCTTTGGAAAATATACACACCAAAGCCACCCTGGGAGAGTGTGGGACACTCCAGTGGACTATTGGCAAACTCCAAGGCTCTAGATGAGAACAGTCTTTCAAGGAGACGTCTATTAAGTCTATCCAGTAAGTTCCCTCAAAGATCCCAACTATCCTGGAAGAATCAGCATGGAGATGTTTGAGGTTTGAGGCGATTAAGGTTGGTGATGCAACACTTAACAACGTCCGTCCTATCGAACCAAGTCGGAGAGCGAATTTCATTTTATATTAGATGACTAACGTTTCCGTTTAACTCGCATTTTAGGAATATGAAAATGAAGAAAAACCATTTGACTGCGAGTGAAGATATTAAAAGGCAAATGTGATCATTGCAGCTACGATGTTGGTCTGAAGATTCGATAAGACAAATTTGAAAATTCACCTAAATGAAAAATGTAAGTGCAAAGACCGCGTTTATGCTACCATAGATCAAATGGTTTTACCATCTTCGTAAGGATTAGCTGGCTCCACTGGAAGTCCTAGCCAATACTGCAACATGACTGCAGGTTCAAGCTTCCCCGTGGCAGTTGAGAAATTACGTTGAAGTGAGTTATAATGCTCTGACTTCATGCTTGTGGCGCTTCTTGCCAGCTCGTCCACACCAATCAAGGTTCTTGTTGAATTGTCAAGCATTTTGCAATTAGAAGAAATTTTGTTGAAGACCTGCCTCATTTCCTGTTCGACCTCGTACTTCTCTGAGCCCTTTGGTAGCAGTCGTTTCTAAACAAGATCAAAACGAAGTATAAGCAATCATAAGGGAAACGTTGTACGTAGTAATTCCCCCAAGGTTATTTTCTTATATGGCCCATATGTGGATGTGCCCATCGACAGGTTAATTAATTTCGCGCGAGTCTGTACTGATCTAAACACTGGGTATATATTTAATCGTGCGAGTTTATCTTAACATAAACAGGTATTTCATAGACGGTTAAGTTGATTTGCTTGATGAAATTTGTTTCTACGTGTATTTGAATTATAACACAATGAATTTGCTCAGCTGCAATTGCCAATTAATAGCTTCAAAAAGGACGGCGTGCATTTTGTGCTTTCCTAGCTTAACAGGGTAACAAAATTGATGTGCTTTCCTTAACGGGGTATTTATTTTAGTTTTTTTAAGAGAGCGCCGGGTGTGAATCCTCAGCTACACCAAAACACAATATATATTTTCAAGCAACGACTTTATAAGAAAGTCTTTAGCAGGACGTCCCTGCAAAGCTAAGACTAAAGCACGTTCAACGACAGCATCCTTTAGTAAGGTTCTACAACTCAGTGTCAAGGAGTGTAAATGTGTGCCGTATGCATCAAGGTCTTCACCGTTTTTATACTAAATTTGGCGCGTCATTGCAAAACAATGCTGTGTCTTGCTGATATTAAAGGGAATTAAATCCAAAGCACGAAATAAGGTGAGTAAATAAGTGAATAAATAAGCAAGTGACTAGAGAACAATTAAAGTCGATAATCAACGCATATATCAAGGTCAATACACTAACTGACACCTTACCCCGAGTTTACGTTTCCACTTAAAAAGACTGCATTCTTTCATCGTCTCACTTTGACTTCTCCCTCCGACTCGAACAATTCCGCCGTCGTGAAACGAGTGAATTCCTTCCAAAAACTGGTCAAGTGCGTGGTTGGTATAACAAACCACAAAGATGGGCCTTTTACCAGACACTTTTTGCCAAGCCTTGGCGTTGTGCAGCAGAATCTTGGCTATCTGTGAGAAACACAATACAATTTTGGGTATTTTCTCTGATTTGAAAGCAAAATTAATAATTTGGACCGGTGACATGAAAACTGAGCCTTAAGTTTGAGAAAATAATTGCTCACAACAAGGAAATAAACTAGACTTCCGCCTACCATGTACAGATGGTGCCTACCCTGAATACAGGAAGTGTCTTGCAGTGGAATCTATTTTCATTCTATATAGTACACAATTCATGCGTTTTCTCACCCTACAAGTTACAGGTAGTTGGTTAATTTTGGGTTTAAACAGTTGCCTCTCTGGTCTGTAGAAAAGCCCACGTAACATGCGATCAACAACTTGTAGAAACGGAAGTAACTGTTGTTAAAACAAGTGATGTATTTTCGAGGTTCATACCTTAAGTCCAATGTACGTCTTTCCAGTGCCGGGTGGTCCTTGGACGACTGCAAACTCCTTGGTCAGCGCTAACTGTAAGGCTTGGAACTGTGAATCATCTAGTTCCAGATCCTTTGCAGATGGCCAAGAGGCTGGGCTCAAAACTGTAACACTCGATGCTAGGAAGAGAGAAAAATGTTTCAATCATTGTAATAAGCTATTTTATTTTAACGATCGGGCGTTCAGATAACTGATCCAGCTGCTATTTTATTATCCACTTAATTGAATAGCACCGAACGTCTTCACATTTTAAAGACATTCGCCATAATGTTGTGAATCATTCTGGTTGCTTTCATATCTTCATTGCTCCTTTTTAAACTTCAAAGGTTAGAAAAAGGGCCAGCTTCGCTTAAGGCTTCGGTTTAGAATGGCCTTTTCAGTGGAAACAAACTGTCTTTACATGGTACTAACTATAGGCAACTTACAAGATTTGGCCACACCAAAACGCCTTCTTAATGATCTAGAGGCAGAACACCTGTAATTAGAAACATCGGTTAACAGTGAGAAACATGTTTTTGACTCGAAACATTGCGTATTCATCAGTTTGCTCTTCTTTGTAACTGACTTTTTCTCTATTCCGCAAGAGAGTATAAATTAAAGAGCTCATTTAATGAGAGACGACTAAGTACAATCTTTAACTTACTCATGCCAAGAAGTAATATTATTCAGCATAGTTTACTCCCGTTCACTCAAATCGAGATTGAGTTCCCCTGCTAGGACTCCCTCAATACTTTTACTCGTTAACTCGAAGAGACCCTCTTTTACCCCTTTGGACTTTCGTCCTTACTTTTATCCTCTGAACCGAATCGCTTTGAGAAAGTGCGATCTGATTAGTATTACATGATAATACAGCATTTCCCTATCTGTTTGTTTTTGTAGCAAAGTATAGTTTTGTTTGCACTGAAATAGTAACCTTGCTTAACTGCGTAATGGCCAAAGTTACTTAAGTATAGAAGACTGTCTATATTATCTGTTTTCTTTTTTTTATTTCCGTCATTTTTTCCCATCCACCATTTCATCTGTGATTTGAATGAAGGTTCGAGTGACAGCTTCTGTATTTCTTGCCTTTTATCCGGTGACATTATAGGAGAAAAATCAAACTTCACTTGTTCGCCATCTGGATTCGTCAAATAAGCAGGAGGCAAGATGTCCTTCTCACATTCAACAATATATCTCTATAATGGAACGTCCAAAAATATCTTTTAATTATCAATACATTAGTATTAGCTTACCCTAACATATACAGTCCTTAAACCCTTTTCCAGAAGAGGAATGGTTACTGCTACCTAATGAAATGCCGAAACATAAAGCCTGACAATGCATCTCTTTTATCGGATCCAGCTTCCCAACCATAATTTTAATGGAAGACTCAAACTGAGCCAGCCAGTGAAGAGTTTTGACCAGCCTATAAGGAAATGTTTACAGTCCTATGTAGTTCCCGTAGGATCGTCGCGATCGAGCGCTTACTTTCAAATGTACCTAAAGGGTTTGATGCCAAGCTCTACGTGATTCTTTTAATTCCAGTTCAGTCGCGAAACCTAAATGAGCGAGGTGCATAAGTAGTTAAGATTGTGTTTGACCATGCCAAAACGTCTGAACACTTATCAGAGGAACGTAGTGAAGCAGGATCGGTTCGACAAGTATATGCATCTAGACTAACATAATGACTAAAAGAAAAGTCGACCGGAATAACATTTCAACTCGCCAAAAAGCCGTTTGTATTTTATTATAGGAATTTTAGTTATGATGATAGTTAACCTGTAGGGGAAACTTCCCGTACGACATTGATTGCAATCCTTCCAGCACTGGGCGGTACGCCTCAAAGAAAGCTATTGATTCAGCCATCTGACACACGTCTCCTATCCTCAGCACTGCCTCACCAGCCGTAGACACAAAACGCACTTCTATCTCACCCTGAAAAAATTCATTTCCAGACAACCTACTTTGTAAGCTAAATTTCAGACATCCCTTCTAGTCGCATACTCGGATTTTATGACCCGAAGGTATGTCTGAAATTCAGGCTACCTACTTTGTATTTGATTATAGCTTTTCCCATGATACTATAAAGAACGGTAATTTAAAAATACCAAGAGAGAAAAATGGCACAAAGAGGGAATCTTAGGGCGTTGGTCGGGATATGTGATTTATGATTATTATTATTAGAGGTTGTTATAATACTACATGAGAAATTTCTGCAATTTGATTGGCTTAGAACAGTGGTATTTCCGCTTAATTGGAAATACCTACAAATGAAAATTACAAACCTTTTGTGGGTAGTAGTATAAACAAATAATAGCATGATTTGTAAGTGATATTTGGCATAAATACCAAGAGTGATATTTCTAAATGGTTATCCGTAATTTCACGAGACGTAAGGCGAGTGAAATTTGAGACAATTCTGAAATATCACAAGTGGTATTTATGCCAAATCATTTTCAATAATACTATAAAGAACGGTAATTTAAAAATACCAAGAGAGAAAAATGGCACAAAGAGGGAATCTTAGGGCGCTGGTGGGGATATGTGATTTATTATCATTATTGGAGGTTGAAATTAAACGGAAGTCTAATTCCTGAGACGTCCGCACATTGTGATCGATTGTTTGAAATGCCATCAAGTCGACGTGCGACTGCCTCTAAACAAACAATGCCGAACATTGTAATGACGACTGTCGATTCTCTCTTGACAACACTATGAACCTCGTCGGAAACAAAGTAACGGTTAATTTCAAGCTGTTGATTTGTCTAAAAATAACTTTGGTCAAATTCGCAAATCCCAACGGCTGGGCTGGACTGGACTGGGCGATTCCCTCTCTGTTCCATTATTCTGTCTTGAAAATACACAGTTCCATATCCAAATGCCTGTTATTCAGCCCAGTCATAAGCTATAATATGCAGGAAGGATGCTGTTCCTTTAGAGCTACGTAATTTTCGTGCTGCAAAGCCGCCTTAGTGCAGAGCAATTGACGCGCTGGGACGAAACAACACAGGATATTAATTGTTTTATCCCAGTACTTCCTTTGCTATCCAGCATTGCCGTTTTTTACACCACGTGAATGAATGACTAGCTGCAACTGTACTGCAGGAGTAATGGCTAAACATAATATGTGATTTAAAGTGGCATGGGTAACGATAATAATAATTTATTATGGTAAAGGATAACTATGAGGTTTTTAGAACTATTACGAAGGTCAATGATCCACCATATAGTCATTAAGCAACAGTGTCTTTACTGAGCTGTGCTCACAGAGCTTCACCAGCAAAAAAATGAAACTGGACTAGCAGGCCCCAAAGCATGGTGGATTTGAACAATGGCATTTAATATAACTAATTGCAGTATAAAGTCAAAATCCTAATAAAATAAAATATGCAGATGGAAATGGTTTTTGCAGATACTCCCTCCACTCTCACTCTCCACCCCCTTAATAGCTTTACCTAATAAAAATAGGCATCGTTACTTAACGTGTTATTTTCTGAACTCCTGCATTTATTCTTGAACTATGGTGTTTTCTTTGAACTATAATGAAAATTTAAACTGTATAATGTACTGCGCCTCACTGTAGTTCCAAAGACTGGGGACGTTAAATTATGCTACAAACCTTAATTAAGCAATTAACTGAACATTACTATAAATATCTATTATATTACAGTACATACATTGTTAAATTAACCTGTCGTATTATGGCGCAATTTTGCTCAGATGTAAAATGCTTACGGGGCTTCTTTTTTATAATTATTTATCCTTCCAGTCAGACGTTTTCTCTTACCTTGACAATATCCCTTAGCTCTCTATTAGCAACTGTGGCGAAAACAAAGTTCTCGAATTTGTCCTTCGACAAACAAAGAAGTGATCCGAAAATGAGCCTTTTACTGTTCTCCCACTGCACTCCACGGAACCGTGAAACATCGAATCTGACTTTGTATGCAATCCCGTTCGACGTAAATACTGGACTGAGTATTCTCACATTGTCGTAGACTCTGATATCATCCAAACGATGTTTCCCGTTGTTCCTTTGATCACCCATGACTACCAACTGCTGGATTCCATCTCGCAGTGGCCTGACGAAGTCCTCTCGAAGGAGTCGAAACTGTACGTCTAGGTAGTGTTCTTTATTGTCGTAGCGCCCCATGACTTTGTTCTCTCTTAGAAAGGGCCTCTCTTGTGGAAAGATGTCTTCGCGGGTTGGAATAACGCTCAATCGGCGAAAATCCTCAGGAGGTAATGGTGTTGCCATCGCTACCGTCTAGCTGAAAAAAAAAACACAGATGTATCATAATTCACTTATGTTGAAATTCATGTACATGCTTTTTGTAACGTGTCAAGCAGGATATTCTTTGAACTGCCTTAAAAATGTGCCATTGCTCCTTAAAAACAGTTGCTACAACGTGGACAGTAAACTAAAGAATTCGCTATTGTCACGGCAGACTGAAAGGTTCTGACTGATTTTTTGGTGCTGAAATCGGCTGAAGGAGAGAATCTGATTGTTAAGCTAGTGCTGAGTCGCTGACAATTTAATCGTCCACAGACTGTTTCTTTCTGAAATTAATAACTGAAACCAATAACATTAGCTACATATTCATATTCCATTGTATGCGAGTCAAGAACCCAAAATTGGCAAATAGTTATAATCAATTTTAATTTCCTTTAGGGCAAGCAACTTCATCACAATATAAAGCAAGTAGTCTGTTCGCCTAATGAGTCTTTTGCGACGTTCAGTTTATTGCAATTTTTCATGAGTAATAATAACTATTAATGTTTAATTTCAATCTTGAAGGAGTTTAAATGATGAATAACTGATCCCTGGTGATACGGTGGAATCCGTGAGAAACTAGTATTTCAGAAGGAATAGAAAGTAACTGAGTTCTGATGCTATTTTTGCTTCACATAAACAACATAACATGTGTTATAGATATATTTTTTTTTTCATCATTAGCTTGCACCATTATATATTCTGTACACTACGTACTATGATCCACCGACCAAAACAAGCGATAAAAGTTTCCGATATTCTAACGGAAAGAAAGTATGACAAACAGTATTAATTTTTCTGCCAAAAGTATGAACAAGTGTGGCACCGGCGCAATTTCACCAAAAAGGCCAAAATTTATCAAAAACGAAAATTATGATTTAATCGGCGTGCAGTAATAAGTGGCAAGTTCATTCGATGCGGAAATAAATTCTCCTGGGCGGGACTGGACAGGTTTCAGAAGTTATTCATAGCGTTTATTAAAAAGCATTGCATGAAACTTTAACATTAAAGGTTGTAAGTTTATTGCGTCTGTTGCTGCATTATTGATTAGACTTACCCGGCTAGACTTGCGAACAGTAACTAGCAGTCTTGAAGCTCTTTAGCCGGTCTCCATTTTGAGGTCCAGTCTCCGGTATCATTAATTAATTTTTCCAGACAAAGCCACTCTAAAGAAAGCAAACGTTTCACCATGTCAATGAAAGTTTATGTTTACCAACATGGAAGAATGCTACATAACTAAGTACTGCAAAAAAATGCATTTATATCATCATTATACCAACCAATCAAAAAGCAGCATGGAGTGAGTTCGTGGAATCCGCCATGTATACTTCCGACGTTTCCCTTTCTGGGAATAAAAAAGAAAACATTTCTTAATAAAACTTGAATGAAACGCATTTTCTTCTTTTTACTGCAGAAGCCTGTTGGCAAGTCGTTTATTAACCTCGAAACAAAGCCAAAGAAAGTAGAAATTGATTACAGAGTTTGAAGACATCAGACTGATTTAAGGATTAAGTGTTCTTCCAGAAAGAATTTCTACACTTCCGCTACATTTCTCGGAATTTTAGAAGTTCACCTTAGGAAAACCTTCTAGGAAAAGCAAAGTTTAAGTGCCACTTTATTAAATGAAGTTGGCCACCGTTTCAGTAGGTAAAACATTCCATCTAAATTGTTAATTGTAGTCTTCTTGATTAAGTTTTAAGTATACTGAAGTTTCTAGTTTCGACTGGCATGCATCTCGGCTTGCAGCGCAAAATAAGTTCTAACTCGGCTTGCAGCGCAAAATAAGTTCTAACTCATTCTGAAAAGAAATGGTTCTTGTTTCCAAGAGTGGCATGGCAAGCCTCTAGGACTGGTGAATTTTTTTTACTTAATTACAAAAATTGTTACAGTATTAGCTGTCAATATATTTTAAGTCTCTTAAATATAAATGAAAGTCTCTAGTTTGTTAACCTGTCTGAATGTAACTTAATCAGGGTAAAAATCACGATTATCAATGCAAAATTCCTATTCACATATTCTCTTCAGGCGCTGCCAGTTATCATATTTCAAAAATAATGATGAACATGTAAAAATTTCTATCTATTTCCTTTTCAAAACGAGAGGTAGTTTTAAGATTTCAGTTAATAGTCTCTGTACAAGAAATATTTAGTCTTGAAATAGTATGGAGTTTTGTTTTTCTTTTCGTAGATCCCAACAAGTAACGTCAAGAAGTTGAAAACACCAAGAAATTCCGTATTATCCGAGTTTGGATGTCTTTGTTGCGTGTCTTTTAAATGTCTCATTGCAGAATAGTTAAAACTTAAAACCTTAGACAAAAATGTTGAGGAAAGTCCAAAATTCTTGACACGTTTCGACCAAGATTCTACCCTTGGACGAGTACAGTTCGAATTTGGGGTAAACATTTCAGAAATAGATTGCATAACTAACTGAGGAGGTGGGAATCGTTACTTACGATCCTCGTCGTTGTAAATTTTCCCAAAACATACTTCGTTTTCCTATGAGCACCTGGCGTCATTTTATTCGTCTAGTAAAATATCGACAAAAACCTTGCAAAAAGCAAATATTATATACCGAGATATTATGTAATAATACTGGGGTTTCTTTAGGGCTGATCAATGAAGAGTTTTTAAAATAATTTCTTGTAGTACGTTAATGAGATTTACTGTACCTGCTTTTATAAGGAGATCAGATCAAAGAGACGTACACACTATGACTTCGGGCCAATACAATATCGTGTTTTCTTCTAGGAATGTCTAGGCAGAACGTTTTTGTCAGCTAAATTTAAGAGTAAAGACCTTTAGTGTTGTGTGGGCATGCTTGAACAGACTGGCCAATCAGAAAACGGCAAAATATGGTTTCCCAGAATATAGAGAGCGACTTCCGGTCTCTTCATTTCTGAGAAATTTATTTCAACCTGTTAACCTCATTTAATTACGGGCATTTTTAGTCCCTTGGGACCTGTCCGTGGTTTCTTCCACCCTCTGTACCTCCAACAGGATTTAGGTTGCGACAATAAAAATTAGGAAGTCAATAGTCTGTAAATTCAAAATTGGTCAATTTGGACAACCGCCCTCTTGAATCCGCCTTCTTAAATAGACCTTGTCACGGTTTTCGACCCCATCTTGACGAGTAGGCAAAAGTGTGAGAAATTGCAGTGTTTGTATGGTAATCTAATGCCCAAAAACGGCTGTTCTGAAAAAATATGAATTGTAAACTAAAGCTACAAAGCAAAGGATTGTACTAGAAAATTTGGGCGGGCGTAGCTGTGCTTAAATTTCTTCAGTGGCTTCCTTTAGATTTTCCATAAATTTTTCCCGGGACTTACTTACAGACAAATGTAAAAAAAAATTAAAAAGTGCTTCTAGGTCTTGTAGCGCATGTAACGCCCTCAATTTTTTTCAGTAGAATCCTTAGGAGTAAAGCTTTAGATTAAAATTCACATTTTTTTTCAGGGCAGTCGTTTTACGGAAATTATTCGACATTAGATGCTCATACAAACACTGTAATTTCTCACGCGTTTGCCTACTCGTCAAGAGGGCGTCGAAAACCGTGACAAGGTCTATTAATGTCAAGGATAAATAAGTCAATTTCAAATCACCTCAAGTTTAAACTACGTAACGGTGCTGAAAAGATATTAAGCTGTATAAAATGATGAAAAAATAATTTCAGTTTAATTTATTGGACAGCTAACTTTGTCAAATCTGAACATTCAAGTGGTCTCTCTAGATGAATATATATACTCAAATTCCTTTAAGATACATGTAGCAAGCAATAACAAAATCAGTCGATGCTCAAACAACCTAAAGCAAGGAAAGATGGTAATGAAATTAAATTGCTTGGTTTTTTGGAAAAATCACGCTGCCAAGGAAAAGTACATCCCGTTCACAGCTCTTGGGCCGTGAATGAACTGGATATGAAGGTTAATGTTTCATTATCGTTAAACAGTTAACTAGTTTCTCATTTGTTCGTTTCCAATAATATTTCATAGTTTTCATAAAGCTCAAACTGTAGTTTTAAGCGCGCATGATATTGTCAGTATTCAGATTGCAAGTCAAACACTCTTAAGTATGGCTTAAGAAGCCACTTGCTCCCTAAAGGTGATGTTACACAAGACGATTCGCAACGACGATTTTTAGCGCAACACAGCCTTGCAACATTGTTGCGACATTGTTTCGAAAGGTTACAATATTGTTCCAACATTGCAGGGATTTACCCGTACCGTAGCGCGGAATCAAAGAGGTAGTGTCACACCCAAAAGGACGTGAATAAACAACATGTGACAAACACATCACATAGCTGCTCCTTTACTTTTTGCATCACCCATTATTTGTAGTTTCATTTCTTCCCTTTCAAAAACTACATTAGGGTTTCCCCGGCGCCGTACTTGTTTCTAGCAGAGTAGCGTTGATAACACAAATGGGCCCTCGGGACCATGCAATTTGCTATAAAGCAATAAATTTTCCTCCATTCAATACATATTGAACCTCTACCTTCTGTGCTTGATTTGGCGTTAACACCCCTTCTTCTCTAATTCCGACTAAGTTCACAATTCAAAGAGGAGTAACAAATTTATCATTACTGTGCTGGATTACATACGCGCTTTAAACACATTGACGTGAGCGATAACAACGTTTTCGTGTATTTAGATATGTATCATACTAAAGGAAGCTGAATCTTTTTTCCTAACCTCACAATCTCTTTTCATGAAGTGGTATAATCATTAATAACGCGCGTACAGGTAATTGTTTCAAATCACTTGAAACAAAAAACACAGAAAACTAGGAAAAATAAAATAACCTAATCTACCACTAAAATCTCAAGCCATTTATTGGAGAGATTTAACAAATGCAACCATGTAGAGACGGAAGACACAAAATCCCACAGTGACAGGTTCAAAATCTTAAGATTTCTTGAGCACGGTTTCCCAAGCTTGCCAGCGACGCCCTTGAACTAAATGGACCATTGTGTTTTTCCATTCAGTTTTCTTTTCCACCTAAACGATAAGCAACCTTGATTTATATTTGTTCAGTAGCCTAAAGTTTCTTATTTAGACCACCACACAATGCAGGGAAAACATTTCATGAAAACAGCAGCACGCTGTTACATGCTAAATCCAAAGGTAACGATGACCGTTCAAACTCACATATTTCCCTGAAAGTCACATATTTTCCCCGATAAAGGAACTCACATATTTTCCCTGATGAAGGCAGAATTGCCGAAACATCGGAGTCATGTAGCCATTGCAATGGTGATCTCTTCACATTTGAAGATAGCATGTATTTTTCGCGGCTGACAAGCGTGGGAATGGGAATCTCCAATCTGTTGTTTAGAATCTTTTAGTGATTGGTTCCTTAGTTTCTCATCAAAGATTCAATATTCAAAACGTTTAACAAACCGAACAAAGGCTCATTTTGTTGAGATCGTTGACAAGTGCGAATATCAGAATCCAAGTCTCACAAGAAAACTATGCCGAGAGAGGGAAATTGTGGGGACTTAACTGAAGATACGCAAGGCTTTCAGAGAATATGTATAGAATAATTTTGCTCCTTAAACTGAAATAATATTCCTTCAATTCCAGTGGAAAGGAAAAAGTTGTCGCAAAAGTCGAAAGAGGGAGAAGAACAGGAAGCAAACCAGATTAGTTAAAGAAACGTCCACAAAAGGTAAGCACTAGATTTAAAACTTTTTCGAACTCTGTCTTGAATAACTATATGAATATTCCAAATTTATTCACCCGAATAAACAAAGCGGAGGTTGTCTCTTTTTCCGGAGGGCGGCACACAAAGATGAATACAATTTTGTTCGCTTTTCAAGGACTTTAAACAGAAATGACGAATGTTGATCGATAAGAGAGAAACAATATTTACAGCTTAAACTCCGCAAAAGAGCGGTCCCTTTCGTTGAACACTCATGGAACTCAGTTTTAAATTTGTTTAAACATTCGCAATAATTGCATTTTAAGTTTTGTTTACCGAGAGAAGCAAATTAATTGTTTGAAGTTCAAATGCTGCGCAGATGTTCACGAATTTTAATTTGTTTGGAAATTTGAAAGCAAATAAAATTGTTCTCACCAAAAATATGTTGCTTCTTTCTTTCAGATAAATAGGAGTCACGTGGATCATGCTAGGAAAAAAAAGTAAGAATCTCGACAGGCAATCACGGAGTTAGCAGAAAAGCTTCAAAAATAAGGGGCTGTTTACATGACACCGGGGCGACTTTCGCTCTGGAGTAAGTTCACTTCGGTTCCCTCTCATGGCTCTACATTTGTTTACGTGATACCACCACATGTCATGCCGGCGCGAGTCACCCCGGCGTGAATTCACCCCTGTTGTTGTACCGGCGCGAGAATTTCACTCCCGTACGAAATCTCGCAATGGTATTATGTAAACGGAAAACGACCACAAGTTTCGGTGTGAAATCAGTCTGCTGGTAGACTGGAACGGGTAGCGCATGCGCATGTTTGCGATTTTGAATCTTACGTGTATTTTGTCAACATGAAGTGTACCTTCAAATAACGAGATATGAAATGACCCAGTCATAATGTAAACACGATACGAAATAAAAAAGTCATCCAGGTATGAAACTCGCGCCGGTGCGAGTTTTCTCATGTAAACACCCCCAAAGATAGAATATTAAATTTTTTTAATATCATTAACAAAATAGTAGTCGAAAAAATGTGCCCTCTACACTAATTCCCTAGGGTAAAAGGCCACATTGGAGGCACATCAATTGGAAACTACGTTTTCAATTCGTGAAAAGCAGACTACTGAATTAAGGTCACGCATGATACAAGATGTATGTAGTCTCGTAAAATTTTTTTATCAGCTACTATAATTCCAAAAGGAGCTGGATTACACTTAATTTCGAAGGGCTCTAAATTCAGTCTCAAATAAGGGATAGAAAATGCTGCATATGATCACAACACTTCACAAATGTATCATGACAGATAGACAGATAGATTCTATACGGTATTTCCATGAAAGTTTTGAATCATTCATTAAGCCAAGATATTTACGTAATCTTTCATTTCAAGGTTTGCGTAGGTGTTAGTCACGGAGTCAAGAATTCTAATCCTAGGTATGAAGGGCATATTCTTTTGCCGGGGACGAAAGATTACAAAGTTTGATTTTTTTTATGTTCAAAGACAGTTTGTTGGCCTTTAGCTCGCGTTTAACAAGTGTTTCGAGTCCCATTAGCTTGTAATTTGTAAGTATTATACTGGTATCGTCAGCAAATAGATAAAAGGCAAATAACGAAGAGGAATGGTAAATATCACTGATGTACAGTAGGAATAACAGTGGTCCGAGGACTGAGCCTTGTGGCACGCCACACAAGGTCGTCTCAGCCTCAGACACAACATCATTAACTTCCGTAGTTTGCTTTCGAGCAGTCAGGTATGATCTGTGCCAGGAGTTGATTACACCTGTAATACCATAATTTTCAAGTTTAGCTAACAAAATCTCATGCTTAACAGTATCAAAAGCCTTCTTGAGATCGATGAAAACACCGCACCGCACAGTACCGTTGTCCATATTTTGGAGAATTGTTATCAAGTATAGCATGCTTAGTACTGTGCTTACTGCGAAAGCCGTATTGCTGATCATAGAGAATGTTGCAATCTTTGACAAACTTGGTAAGTCTGGAGTACATAAGTTTTTCAAAAATCCTGTTATAAATCGAGAGCAGTGAAATAGGTCGGTATATCGGGATAATCTTAACACACTTTAGTTTAGACGGAAAAATCCCTGAGCAGATAGACTGATTAAAAATCGTGGCTAGAGGTACGGATATTACCCTTTTTGCCAATTTCAGCAGCCTAACTGGAGATGAGTAGAGACCATGGGCACTGTTGTCTTGCAAAATTGAAAATTGAATAATAGGACCAAAGAAGAAAGTGCGATTAACTGGTGGATCTAAATAATCAAAGAATGTATTTATGGTCTGAGGAATTTTAGAAGCCAGTTTGCTCCCAACAGTGACGAAATATTTGTTAAGAATATTGCTTATTTCCCTCGGGTTACTTGTTGGAAACTCATTCGGGTTTGGGCGAATAGAGTTAGTTGAATTGCGCTTGTTTTTCTTTTTGCAGTTTTCAATTAGCTCGTTAATTCCTTTCCAAGTTTGACGCACATTACATATGTTGAGATCAAGGAAACTTTGGTAGTAGTTCGCTTCACTTAATCTCGAAAGAGAGATGATTTTATTTCTGTAAAATTTGTATTTGTCCCAGTCTGAGGTATAGAAGAAGTTATTCTTTACCTTGATTGATTTTCTTAAACCCGCAGTCAGCTATGGTTTAGCAAGGGATTTTTGTTTACGACTGGATATACGTCTTAAAAGGGCTGGAGAATGATATGATTGGCATCGGTGGGTATGTTTGCAAATATTATTCGACAATTTTGCAAGTCGTCAATGAAAGATTTTGCATTGAAAATAGAATAGTCACGAACCTAAGTTTTGTTGTTTGCCGGCCTCCGATCGATGCGTTTTCTATCACTCATGCACTGGCGTTTCCTTAACAACCATTAACATTTTAGCCACGTGCGACACAACTTACAGGACCGGTTTGCGAAATAACAACTGTGGACTCAGATATTTCCAGAGTGCAGTCTCAACTTGACATGCGCATTCCACATTAAACGAAACCGGTTTTGGAAACCAGTAAATTTCGGCCACAAATGTGGTCGGTGGCTACATAAAAGAACGCGTCGTCCTTTTTCTCTTACCGTGTGAGACCTTTGCTAGTAGGGAAGTCGCGTTGCATTGCGTCGTAACAGACTTTCGTTTGCACAGTTGCGGAATCATAGGGGGGAAAAGATCAGAATCTTTGTTTCTCGCATTCTGTAGCGGGGGTGGGCTTAAGGCAATGAAACATGCTCCCTTATGATGGTTTTTTGTGTCTGCAGACATGGTGATTCCAAAAGAAACTGCTACAGGTCAACGCCTTAAGTCACCGTTTCACTTCTTCGTGTTTATGTCTTACCTGGTTCTGGGACTGTTACAAAGTCTTTGCGACATGTCCTGATATGAACCCTTACTAAATTCGTCCCCCCCCCCCCCCAAAAGAAATAGAAATAAAAAAAGCAGTAGCAACAATAGCAACAAAAACAGTTCTATTACGCAACTCGACATAGCACTGACTTGCCAGTCTCGCACGCAAACTCAAAATGGTCAGTACGAATCGTCTGGATAAAACTTAACCCCTTAGTCTGGTCTCCATGTGACAAATTCAGAATTGCATCGGTCCTCCCAATCACGCTCTTCCCCATCCCCAACTCCCTCCCCTTCCCACGCCAAACATACACACAAAGTACCCGGATTATATAATAACCAGGCTTAACATCTACTAAGAAAAGTGCAAAACATTTATTTGCATGTATCGTTAGTGAACCCATTTTCTGCACAGAAAAAACGCATAATGCAAATCAGATGACACTGATATGATACTAAGATACTTAAAGAGTAAAGAGTAAAGAGCGGCGAAGAGAGGGTGAGAAGTTTGGCTGTGAGATTCATAAATCATAAATTACGCTTAGTAGTTTGGAAGGAGTCTGTAAAGTCCTTGTGAGCAGTTAAGAGTTTGTTTGTACTCTTGTAAATGAATTATCTAGTTTCTTTTTAAGTTATAACAAAAATTGATTGACCAGGTAAATCTGGTGGCGAAGAGGTTTTTAAACAATCTCAGTTGTACTGATTTAAAAGACTAAACACTACAGAAAAGCATGCCAAGGAAACTAACGAGGCTTCGTATTCAACTTCTGTTTCAGGTATCTCGCATCTAGACGGTACTGCTTCCATTCAGAACCGGCTTACAATGTCTGTTAACAAAAGCTTAAGGCCCTTAACTTAGACAAACGCTGTTAATGAAGTTAACTTTGGTCAAAGAGTTTACACAATTTGTGCGCTTAAAAATCTTTTTATGCCTCTTTCGCACAAGCAAGTTTCACTGCATCATAAAAATCTGGGAAGCTGTCTACCTTCTCCACCACACCCCACACCCCAACGTTAACACTAGCCAGTTCCAGGCGTCTAGATTGTGGACACTGCGCAAAGAGATGTGAGCAGGAGAAAAAAAAAAACAAAACAAAAACCCAGGGGAGGAGTAAAATAACCCCATTTCGGGGGTATTTTAACTGAGACTGGAAGTAAAAGAACTCTAATGAAAAAATGACTACTTCTTAAATTAGGAGTTAAAAAAATCCCCCAAAAATAACTCCCTAAAAATTACGGGTTATCCTTCCTAAAATTTTCCATTTTTTTTACCACTCTCTAAATTCGCGTCGCACTCCACTATCTGAACGCCTGGAACAGTGAGTAGTAAGTTAAACTGTTAGGCTTTTTAAAAAGAGGGTTAGCTGTAAGTGGGCAGTTCCTACTAAAAACTTAACTGACTACCTCAAGTTTATAATCTCTCACTGAGTGAAGAGTGTGGAAAACGATCTGAATCATGAATTTACACGTTAGTGACGAGCTATCTTAGGTGAAGGTAATATTGTTCGACCAATACTAACTGCTGATGTCCTTCCTTCTAACACTACACCACCGTCGGGAGAGTTACGTCTTGAGGGCACAGGGGAGGGCACGGGCGTTATTCGTGGAGGTGTTGCACTATTGGAAGACACAACAACCCCGGCCTTTTTCATTGCCACAAAAGTAGTTGCTCGGAAAGCCTCTGCGGTGTTACTCTCCGGGTTAAAGAGTATGACACGCAGCTTAGGAGCATACATGATACCCAGCACGGCGTACCCTGAACCAAGCACCGCCAGACAGAACAAAAAGTTACGCGTGGAGCCTACACTATCGTAGAACGCTGGGAAGAAACTCAGCCAGAAAACACAGAAGGCGAACATAGCAAAACAAATGAACTTGGCCTCGTTGAAGTTTTCGGGGAGCTTTCTGGCTTTAAAAGCAAAGTACGTACACAATAACGCTATAACCAACACATATCCTAAAATAACAATGTTAAGAAGCTCGTTTGATGTTCCACAGCTTACTATTTGCCAGCCTTCTCTGGCGTTATCTACTTTGATGACTACTTCAGGCGGATGGACTACGAACCAGATTGTTGTCAGAGTAACAGGTACCAACGTCATTACCAACGCAACGATGGCCTGCATCTTGTTGCTAATAAGATAACTGCCTCCGGCGGTCAGCCGTGATCTTGCTTTAAATATACGTAGGAGCCGATCAGTTTTGAGCAACATGATGGAAGTACAAAGGGTAAAGGGAATTCCGAAGAATAGCGGCAGTACAGTGCATCCCCCAACTGTAGGCTTTCCCATCATCAAGAACGGATGCACGAAAATAGCTACAATGCACGCCAAGTGTACAAACGAAAGTTCTCGATTGGACGCTTTCACAACTGCTGTGTCACGATATTTGTAGAAGACGGCGAGGACGCAGTTAGATATAATCAGTCCTAAAGTAGCAAGCAAAGTGGCGCTGACACCCTCTGCATTTCCCCATGCAAGGTAATCGGATTTTAATTTCACACAGCTTGTTCGTTGAATGTTCGATGCATACCCCTCACTGCATTTTCTGCAAGGTTCTGGACCAGTCGTGGGTTTTACAGAACCCTTTCTCGCACTTGACGCATTTCCAGCAACATGCGACACTTCCCTTGACCTGGTAATATCCGGGAGTACAAGGGTCGGCACAAACAGACTTGGGTCTTTCTGACGTCCACCCATTCCATGTGATCACAGAATCATTATACACTAGAAGTTTTCCATCCTGGCCGTTCCAAATACCGATCTGTTTGAAATCCATCTCCTGGTCATTGATTTGTTGAAGGTTCTTTATCGCGTATGATCCAAAGCGGAGATCGCCATTGTTGTCGAACATGATTTGAGACCCAGACCTACCGTGGAACGACACATTCTTCAAAAACTGCACGATATCGATAGGTTTTATTAAAGAGTCGACAATAGCAGGACATTTTTCACTCTTCAGGAGGTTTTTTACATCTTTGCAATCAACGATGTTTTTCACTGCATGAGCAACTGCGTACACTGCATCCATGACATTGGTGTACTTGTTGCGAGGCAATAAATCTGCGCTTGGTGGCTTAGCCGACGATGTTTTCGGACATAGCAGGGTCACATTTGGTCGCTTAGTCGTGTAAACGTAATACATTTCTTCCAGACCTTGGAGATTGGATACCGGAATAGCGTTGGAATGATCTGCATCGTGAGTAAAACAGTCAAACTTGTCAGTCCAATACTCCCACATCCAAGGATTGTAATCAGTGTTGTTTGGCTGAAGGCGACTTAAGTGCTCCTCGTAATCTTCATGCCGTTTCAACAGAGGAAGAACGCCGAGCATTCCTCCAACAACGTTCTCGTCAAGCGTTTTGAGCTGATATGCGTCCCCCCAGGTCTCGGTTCCGATCCAAGTTTTACCACCTAGCTTCTGGCGCGAAGCTTCATTTAAGAATCCTACCGCGTTTGGTCTTTCACACCACAAAATGATCACTTTGGCTTTCTGTTCGTTCTTTAACAATTCAATAATATGCCGAAGCTCCTGCTGCGAGAGCGAAGGATTAAAAATCTCTTCTAATGCTATGCAGATTTCCCGCTTTTTTAGCTCGGTTCGCAGAGAATCGACGCCAGCACGGCCATACGCATTATCCGAGGCCACTATAGACACGTAGGTCCAACCGAAATGTTTCAACAAATCAGCTAAGGCTTGGGCTTGGTACGTATCCGACGGTATCGTTCTAAAAAACGAGGGATACACTGTCTTATCGCTAAGAAGAACACTCGTGGACGAGTAGCTGATCTGAGGGGTGTCGTCTACACCGAAGACATTCGCTACACTAATAGATATGGGTGACGAAGCTGCCCCGATGACCGCCGATATCTGTGTTCCGCTTGACATTACATTTGCAATATACGTTTGAGCAACTTTTGTTATTCTTTCTGCTACTCATATTCCCCGCATCGAGTACAAGATCCAAGGCAGCTTGCAATGCTACAGGGACATCATTGCACGAATCTCTAATGTCATAACCCAAGGTGAAATTAGGTGGTAATAGATTGTGGTTGCTGTTAATTTCTTGAATAGTAAACAACATGGCTTCAACCCAGTTCAGTCCGTACAGGTTTATATCGTGCGCTTGTTTCGTTGACCCTTCGGTGGGCTTGATGATGTGTACTGGGAAAAACCCGCCAAGAATCAAATCAGCTTCCAGGCTTGAGACCCGGTCCGGATTAGCACAGTGTACCGAATGGTTTGTTTTAGTCGACTCGCCTTTGTTAGCAGTGGCCACCAGAATCCCAACCGCAAACATAAAGAGCGACATTGTGTGCCCGATAATCTGCCTTGACTCTTTTTGTTGGCACTGTAGAGTCGTTAATGTTCCAAAGCCTAATTCAGGATGAAGAAAATATCGTTTACGTGTGGTATGTGGCCATTGATTCTACGTTGTATATGTAAACCTCGCTTCAGGAAACAGATCAACAATATTTCACACCAGTCTAATTAAACATCATTCCAAAGATATGCATGGAAAAAATTGGGGTGCCCGGTGGCAAGCATTTAAATCCATCAAAAAATACATCGTATTATTATGAATAATCACTTCCAGTGGCTCTCTGCACGATTTCTCTCACTACGCGCATCTATTAAATTATCAGCACATAACATTTATCGGTTACAACAAAACTCAGGCAGATACTTAAATATTTCAGATGTGCGAAACACAAATCAAAAGTTTCAATGTACTTTATGTTTGGCGAGTTTGTTTGATCTGACATCAAAAACAGGTGACAGATATTCATATGAACGTGATTAAACTTTTCCTTCACGACATCGAAGTCCCCGCCAAAAATGATAGTTATTGTTTGAGACAGGAATATAAAAACAGTGTTTCTCTAAACGATTCGAAGCAATGAAACGGCATTTCAGACTTTCAATTAAGTAAGAAGAAAAATTAACCTCAAGAGAACGACGTCATTCAAGGTAAATACAGCCCCGTAAAAAATCAATCCGATTGAACAAGTGCATATGGAAAAGCTCTTTGCACCAATCAGACACAAGCAAATTGACGTTGTATGTTTTACAGCATGTAATTGCGCTGTCACGCGAAATGGAAATGGAATTATCGAATGGATAACTTATTCAGTTTAAATTAGGCACGTTCTGTTAACCCGTCCAACGTTGAAAAACTACATTAATTTCATTTATTTCTAGTGTATGGACTCAATGGGATGAATGGGCCAAAACTGTTTGTCGAGGCGGTCAATTATACGACAGCCAAAATTTTGAAAAGCAATTACAAAGTCAACGGCGAGCTGATGCTAGTGTTTATGATATGAGGTTGGCACAAAAGGACTAATCTCTATGCAAATCGAGGAAGGATTTTATGGTTTTATTAATGATTTTGCTTATCTTGTATTTACTGGATAGTACACAACCACGTTATGTCTAAGCCAATATCCCACAATTTCCAGGAAACTCCGATTAAAACTGAATAAAAAAAAAAATCAAATCACTCCCCGTGTCGGTTATGACATCTTATCCACTTTGCAACAAACCCAAGAGCAAAAAAAAATCCATTAATGATGCATTTGGTGAGGACAAATAAACGGGTTTAATGTATAGCTTAGGGGAAATGGGCAGTGTAAATTTGACTTCACCCAGAAGCGTCGCCAAAACGTGTCGCCTTCAACTCAAGTTGTCTCTCGAGAACTTCCCATTTAAGTCGCCGTATGCTGTCCAAAGTCCAAAGACTACTGCAAAGCTGATCATATCAACGTATATTGCTTTTTCATAAATAAGGCCATGACTCTTGAACCTAATGGCCTAAGCCGCCGTGACGAATTATTGTAATCCATACCCTTTTTAGTTTTTCTTCTCTTTTTTTATGTAGGTCATTTCCGCCTCTCCCTTTTAAACAACTTCTATTGCGACATTCTCCATCTATATAATATTGCAATTCCTATCATAAATTCAGTAACATCTGTAAACCTAAAGAAGGCTTGTATAGCCAGCCGAAATATTGCTCTGAAAAAGCAATAAACGTTGTTATGATCAGCTTTGCAGTAGTCTATGGACTTCTCGTTTTTTGGTTCTTAATATTTTGGCCGATTAGATCTCTTTTCTAGAGATCAAACGTTGACAACCAGCATGATCTTCGTCCACCGTTTTTGCAGTTAATTTCGTTTTAAATAATGGGTAAGATTGTTTTGAAACCAAATAACGGAATTTCCCCTTATGAAGTACTTCAATTATCAGCTTTTTTGAAATTTAACATATAACAAACAAGACGCTGCGAAAGACGATCGAGCGTATCACGTAGATTGTTAAAGAGTCTTGTAGGTTTTTTGATTCTTTATTCAAACCTTATTTAAATAAATCAATCAATCATTTTATTGTTTAACATTGACGAATCGCTTTGCCCATCCATTAACTTCATTTCAAGTAGTTAGCCAAGCCTTGTAGGTTGTCTAGTAAATGATATATAGGACTGACCATTTTTTATACCAAGCATTTCGGTTTATTGCTATTAAGGGTTTTTCGTATATAGGAGTGCACGAATACTGTCGGACTGCGATCCAGTCCTGGACGACAGAATTACTTCCGAGATAACAAAAGCTATATTTGCATTTTTCTCTAACTAATGAGCGTCTTTTCTTTGAAAGTACTTCACATCCGAGTAAAATGGCGTCGACAGTAACACTAGTTTCAGTTTTCAAATACTGAAAACCTTTTTTATTAAACTTAACGTACTAAATAAACAGCATATTGGTTTTGGTATTATGTTGAACTTTAGACTGTTAAAGCCAGTGGTGTAACGGTTGTTTAGCTCAATTCATTTTGTTAATAATGCCAATTACGCATCCGTATTCGCTATGGAACTTGAGGAAGTATTTGGAAATGGCAAAATCACAGCTTTGTGTCAAACAAATATGTATCTCAAGCAGTATTTTATACGTTACAAATAACAAAAATGAACTAAAAACTAGGCTAACAAGTCTTCAAAAAGCACAATTGAATCCGTTTCAATCTCCAAGTTTGTTCATCTGTGACTCCTTTTGCATTCGCTGTGTTTATCTTCTTTTAACATTTTGAGCGGCTGTTTTAATGTTTCAATCAGTTTGGAGGCGGTTCGCACTGTTTGAATTTTGATAAATTTCGTGACACAGCTCCTTTAATGCAACAAACTTTACCTTTAAGCAGTTTGCTAAACATTGGCAAATTTCTGTCGTTTGACTGTGGCGCTGTTGAGGGTGGAGGCCACGTGGGTATACGGTGTTACCGGGGGTGCTTTGAACAGGAGCCATTGAAAGGAGGCTCCGCGCCGTACGCGTGTGTAGCTTATTGGGGGCGCTTATTGAGGGCTATGAGGCTTGAGCGCGACACGCGACAAGAAGGAAAAAGGAAAAAATAAGATTTAAGTAATGACCCTGGTAAGAAGGAGCGCAATTTCTTTTGTTATGGTGCAATACGCTTTCCTCACATAGGAATGTTTTCATTTTCACACAGAGAATGCGTAAAACCACAAAAAGGCAGTCTACAAAATAAAATGTATTTAAACTTCATTTTTAAAGGGTGTTTGTTTTTGTTAAAAGATTTCAACCAATCATCAGAGTTGAAAACAATAGCCACACATAGGATTTCTGTGTTACGTAGACTCAGAATAGATTCTGTTATAAGAAAGTTGGTTAGAAAACAAGGGATTAATATATATACTGCTTTGAGAAGATTTCATAAAATTTGATGTGCAGATAGCACTTTTTTGCATCCCCATGTGTTCATTGCGTTTGGTTCCGTCCTTCTAATCTGGACATTACTTAAGCAAGATCGCATTAACAACTTGCATCAATTATACATCATGAATCACATGACTCAGCTCAGGCAAAAGGAACCTTCGTACTCTTTTTTTCTTTCTCGCGAGTGTTTTGTGCTTGCGTCAGACAGTTAAACAGCCAGTCCAATGCAATTTACCATTTTCACATAAACCATAACCATTGTCTTCGATTTCTCCTGGGAGGACTGTAATGTCCAGGAGAAATTGGAAACAATAGTTAACAATATTTTTTTTTGGGGGGGGGGAGGGGGTAAACAAGGTGCATTATAGTTTAAGTAAAGATGGTGAATAGCCCATTTTACAGTTACAGGTGGGAACGAGGCTAGAGTTGTTTTGATGGACCCCTTCCTGTTTTATTATGTAAATCATGTTGTTCTTATGCTAATTAGAAGTTTTAAGGCAAAAATTAAAATTGGAAAAGGAAGGAGGTTACTATCAAAACAAGATCAACCTCAGCCTCACTTTCCCTCAGAAGCGAGGTTACTAAGCCCACAACTGTAAAATAGCCTATTGCATTGCACTGCCTAACTATCTGATGCAAAATGTCGGTAACAAGCCTTTGTGATTGGACAGATCAAATGCAATCAATTTTGAGGCTGCAACGATGCTGCAAAATAGACGCATTAAGCGATGAATAAGGATTACAGATTACAAAAGTTTGCCACTGATACAATTTATCTCCTGCATTTTTAGCAATTCCTTGAGAAAAAGAAAACATTTGCTGATTTTGGCATACAATCTGTTTGCTTTATTTACATCATATTTCTTGAGGGTTACTATCACTACTATCGGCGCAACCTAGAGATAACTTAGATATCTGCTAGCAGATAACTCACTGTAGGTTGCGCCCCCAATGCATGACTTCCATATCAATGTCAAACTATGTTTCGTGCGACGATGTGTGACTTAGGGTCTGTTTACATGGAGGTGGGGGACCCCAGGAAGGTGAGGTAACCTGCTTACATGCAATCCTACAACCCCGCAATCCCGGGGTGCACTTTCTCAAGATTATTGAATGGTCACTAAGCACGTAAACAAGATAAAATGCTGGCAAACCACGTGTTTTGGCGATTAATGCTCTTCTACACTCACTTGCTGCTCTTGCTGCAACCTTCATTAATGATGCAAAGCCACCGCCAAAGTGAATTTGAATCATAAACGTCAAATGAAGGTTCAAATTTTATATGGACAGGCGGGTTAAAAAAGCGGGTTACCTCCCTTTAAAAACAGGCCCTGAAATATTCAATTACTCTAAAATGATAAACGTCAAATGAAGGGTTCAAATTTTCAAAAATCCTTTAAAATGTGACTGAAAAAGTGTCAGTGTAAGATTTTTATCCACTTAAGAATGACCGTAGAATATGACAATAAATACTTAAATATTTTAAATAACGCTTTACATGTCTAAATATTATACAATTTGTAACATAAATACTAAGAAAGTGGGCAACCGACGAGTGAAATATTTATCCAATGTGCAAAATGTTGACCGGTTTCATGGTTTATAAAAAAGTTAACTTCCTACTCTGGAAACATAATATTCTGATGTTTTCTCAACGCCTTACTTGTTGGTCATCTGATTGTCTAGAAATAGCTACGTAAAGATGATCACGTGACCGACTGCAACAAACAAATGAAGAGTGACGTTGAGAAAACCTCGATATATTTCGCACCGCAAAATCTCTTTGCTCTGAGTCCTTATTTATTCATCCTCTTTTTGTTCTTCTCTCTGCATTACAACCCCCTAAAACAGGGAACTAATAATTTTAAATACTGACATAATTATCTGTAAATACTAAGGCTAAAAATAATGGGACAATCAATTTTTACTTTAATTTATGGATTAGGCACATGTTTTATATTATCTTTTATTATTTTCAACTCTTCTGTTGCTTTATCTCTTCATCTTACGGAGTCGAACATTGCCAGACTTTGTTTAATAGATTCATCCTGAAAGAGAAGTTGAATTTTGTTACCGATCTCTGAAAACAAAACCGACTTGAATCGGCCTGTTAATCTACGTTCTTATGTTTATTTCTTACTTGAGTAGGATTGATTTCAAAATGACTGAAAGTCAAAATTATTTTCGAAGGTTTATAACTCTTACACAGTGGATGCTACCTCCAAGTGGAAAACTCGACAAAATGCCATTTATAACGGCCAAGACTGACAAGGAGACATTCAGCTAAAGAGGTATGTAAGCTTCATTTTGTAATACTTTGATTTTAGGCTCTGTTTAGTCTGTTAATACAAGGCTCATAAGAGCGTCAAATTGAAAGAGGAACAGAGCAAAATTCACTGGAAAATTAAACAATGATATACACAAATTCTAAAAGAACAATTATTAAGAATTATCACTTTAATTTGAATACTCTTCAGTGGAATTTAGTCGACTCCGGTCCTCTTTTGTCGATCTTTATAATTATTGTAAATGACATACACAATATTCAGCATGTCTGGGCTGCCTGTGCTGTAACTTAATCAGGAATTATGATCCAGATACTCATCCAGCCAAGAAAAACCCAAGGGAAAAACGTTTCTTGATAAAATGTCTCTCATTACTATCTCTTCCCTTAACTACTCAGTTGGTTTAGGTTTTAAGACACTTAATTGAACACACGTTATTCCTCATGTAGTAGTATATACTAGTGTAATTAAACATCAAATAGCAAACTTTTACATTGTTAAAACGGTTTTAAAAATACCCCTTTTTCCTTCACATTGTTATTCCTCGCTTTCAAAGTCTGTTACATATGCATGCATTTACTAAGCTATTTACATTATTTCTTACCCTCTCACATCCGTCCAAGAACTCCTCTTCTGAAATAACGCCATCTTGATTCTTGTCCATTAGCTAAAAATTGTTGAATACGTTAGCAAACAAACTTACTGTAAAACTCCTAGAATTGATACCTTTCGCATATTATACAGTGTAAGCTCCAGTCAAGTAGACGAAATGCAGAAAGTTTGACAAGATAACGTTTCCGTTTTTCTTTTCTCTTTTTTCCTTCCATTTTATCCAGCATTGCAATTTGTACTTTAACTCCTTTACCCTTCTTAGCTCCGCTAATAGTATAATAATATTTAATATTTAATATTCATATTGCACATTTTCTGTAAAAATAATCAAATATATAACTATTATTGTAAAAGTCTGTCAATTAATCAATAGATTGTTGTAATTTCTAATTTGCACAAGTGCAATACAACAGTTAAACCAGTGGACTCTGTCAGAATTTTTCCCTGCTGTTGCTGCTGCTGCTGCTCCTCTATAATTTATAAAGAGGTCGTTTTTGTTATTACATAACTATTCCTTACCACAAATAGCCTCTCGACTTGTTCCTCAATACTCATCTCTTCACTACCAGCTGATGGCATGGAATCAAGTCCCATCATACAGTGAACTGAATGAACCACTGTAGCCAGCTCCTGAAAACAATGCAATCAAAATATTCAATTAGCCCAACAACCAACCAATTTGTTTTGCTGAATTTGGTGGCATCTCCCCAGTGTGCAAAGAAAGTAGTGTGCGATAGCCCAGGGCTAGTGGATTTTGCTATCAGGCAAGTGAATTCTGTTTTTAACTTGCCCAACCGGCAAGTGATGTTTTTTGAGGAATTTGAATAACAGAAGAACTGTGAGATCAATTCCGCTAGTCAAAATGTTTTTGGGGCTAGTTGAATGACATCTGGGCTAGTAAATGCTAGCTTCAGCTTGCCCGAATGGCAAGCTGTAAAAATGATTTTCTTTGCACCCCGCATCTCCCACAGTTTGCATATTGATAAATTTTGTGACACAGCTCCTTTGAAGTATCCAATATTAAAGGTGAAAGGTCCTCAACCAATAATGTAATCATAAGCTAAGGGTAACACGCCCCACACACAAGAGCTGAGGTACAGTGTAGAGTGGAGTACAATTCACAGACTAAATGGGCAAAGGCATGTGGTAATGATGCAATAGATAACAAAAAAAAACATACGCTACATAATTTCTTTTCTTCTCCCTCCTACTTATTAGTCACTCAACTTTGTACCAAATTTAGAAGTAAATGTACAGTACCTCTCTTGTTATCCAACCGTCACCATTCAGATCATACAGCTTGAATGCCCATTTCATTTTTTCTTCTCTAGAGCCATAAAGAGACACTGACAGGCCAGTCACAAAATCCTGGGGTTAATTAATTAGATACAATTACCACTATACACCTGATTACCACCATAACAGCTGTATCTACGCACCATACCATGCTTAAATGAGACTTTTATACATATTTGTAAGTATGTAGGGGTCCTACTAAATGAGACTTTTAGGAGATCTGTCGTGCATTCCACAAGGATACTTTTTTGGAGAGCAGCTTTGCAAATCACGATACAGAGTATATTTGTGACATGCTCAACTTGGTAAATCATCACATTTTAGATTAAAATCAGTTGCATCCACAAATGGCCTCTACAACTGGTAAAAAATTGACAGTTGTCATAGGTCAAACAAATTCCAATATTTTATGCAATATTATTCTGACATGTACCTCAAATGAAACTTTTCCATCTCTGTCTTGGTCAAAGACATTAAATACATGATTTGCATAAAGGCTTGAATCTGGAAGGAAGACAGCACAATGTGAATATTATCAAACACACTAGTCTTGTTGTATTGCTTAGCAGTCACAGTTATATGAGCTGTGCCATCACTATGGGGAAAATGTCACTCAGGGTGCCTGCTTATTTGCAACTGCAGACCAGCTATACAATGCTAGTGTTTGCTGTTCAAAACACTCCAAAACAACTCAACTCAAACACTTTTCAAAAAAGTTCAAAAGTTAATACCTGAGAAACAATTTAACAATGATACAAAAAGTACAATTAATTTTTACAAGTAATCCTACATCAGTTATTTTCCTCTGTTTTAATTTTTAATAAATTGGCACTAATTTATTGATTTTAAAGTATGTACACATTCATGTAGATCCTTTTTCAGTGCACAATTTTCTATTTTTATATTAATTTATGTAAATAGTTTATTGAGCATCATGCTGATTTACAGATAGCTTAAGGGTAAATATCATTTTAATGCCAGTTCATTTCTTTTTTTCATGACATTTTTACGTTCAACTTAGACATACCTCCATAAGGAAAAAACTGGGCATAAATTTTCTTAAAAGTGTCTTTATCAACTGTTCCATTAGGGCATTCCTGTCACAATAAAGCATGATATTAATACAGACCTTTTATTTCAAAACTCTTCAGAACATTAGCACATAATTAATTAATTATTTCTTTATTATTTGATTGTTCTTCCTCTTAAAATTTATATGTCCATATTTACATGTACGATAATTAACCTTTTTTAAAATAAATTTAAATAATTTAATTCTTTGCTATTGTCTAGCATTTGTGATATTATCAAGGAGTTAAACAGAAAAATAGTTTTTTACACTGGGAAATCACAAAAGAAAACAGTACAGTGTACAGTCTCGAACATCTAATAATTCATGCTACTTTGATATTTAAACATGTATACATCATAGCTGTTCCATTTTCACAATATCACACTTTTTAACTTTGTTTACCAGGCTGATTAGGTTAACGTCATAAAGCTCAGGGTTTTAACCATGATTTTTATTTTTATTACTACATTAATCATACAATATACTATTGTAACCACAGGAACCACATCTATAAAATGCCATGTTGCTACATGTATACAGTGATACATGTAGCTGTGGTACTTATTTGGCTTTGACTGTTTTTAGAGATAACTGAACTTTTTAAGCTATTTCAATATTCAGAGATTTCATTTTAATAGCTTCGTCAGAGACTGAAAAGCATATACTATTGAAGCAAAATTTTGACGAAAGAAAAAATTAATACTTATGCCTGTGTACTTACATTTTTAAACCCTCTATACATTCTTTGCAACTCCTCTCTTGAGAATTTTGTATTTGACATCAGCTCATCAATACCCTCAACTCTGACTCCGAAATGGAGACTTGATTCCTCATTGCTGTGGTCTAAAAATACATTGTCGTTAAAGAGCTTTAATAGTTTATTGTGCAGCCAATAATTAATGCATTGTTTAAAAACTTCATTTGTAAGGTTGTTGTGGTTCAGCCTGGAAGGAGAGTTGAAATAATGATAACGCTACGTATCCCATTCAACTTTCTCTAATCCATCTAATAAAACAGAGTAAAATAGAGTCTGAAAAATTATTACACACACACACAAAAAGGAATTAAGCCACTAAATACTTCTCTCTGTCAACATACATTTTATAATAATATTTCACATAAAATAGGTGATCAATCTTGCTATCAAAGAAACACTGGGAAAATTTTTATTTTTCAACTAGCTCCCTTCCTAGTGCTGGCAGGTGAATGTATAGGCAGCTGTTCTGATACATTGTACATGTAAATGAAAAACATGGGAGAATACATACATTGTGGTGACTATGATACACAACTGTAATGCTACTGGGCGAAAAACTTCTTTTGGTGCTTTGATTTTAGCCATCAAAACATTTCTTCCTCCCCGCCCCCCCTCTCCCTAAAAAGATACATATTGTTTCACACATAGGTGGATACATGCACGGGGGTAGAGTAGCCTACTAAATGTACCAGAAATTATGTCCCTCTGGTGAATGTGACACTTTCTAAAAAGAAGCAAAATGTATTTACACAAAATAAAAGTATGTTTTATCTTTCCTACAACACAGACCCCAAAAAATGGACACGGATACAATGTACATGTATCAGTGAAGAGTTGTGCCAAGAGTATGCATGGGATAGAATTTGAGTAACATTGATTATGAAATGTTATCCTGAGCACTCTTTAATTATATGTATCAAGAAAGTTTACACATACATGTCACACACTGTAATTTGTATCTCAAAGACAAAAAAACAAAGGAATCGAAACAAAAACAGAATCTCAAAACTACCAAATTTCTTGGGTGACAGAAAGGTTAAAAAAGTGCCACATACACCGTAATTCTTTGTAAGACTTGAAATATTGGACAGTTGCGTTAAGTATTAAGCAACAGTTCATTCCCAATTCAAATTTCATTGAAACCACTGTCAGTTAGAAATAGAACTCCACTGTTGACAAAGAGTGAAGTACATTTTAGGCTAGGGAATCATTTTTTTCCAAAAACAGCTACTAACATGCTTGTTGGCGGAACATCATAGGTACATGTACACTGCGCAAAAACAACAGCTTATAAAAAGAAATACATGTTACAGCAAAGGTGAAAATCAGTGCAGACCAGCAGGTATAGCTAATAAAAAATTTATACAACTTTACATTTACATAAATGACTTTTTCAAAAATATCAAAATGTTTTTGAATGAATATTTTGGTTGGATTCATTTGACACATACACAAGCATATGCATAACCATCACATTTGCTATTGAGCTTTTGAGCTTAAACACAATAACAATTTCCCAGGGGAAATGTGACGGCTGTACACATGTACTGCAAATAAATGATCCACCATTGGTCTTTGCATTTGAAAAATAAAATAAAATAAAACAGTAAATGATTATTTTGATTTCCCACAGGAAAAATGGTTTCTAAATTAGAATAGAAGTAAATTTAGTAACTAAATTAAAAGTTACATAGTGGTAAATGAATTACGTTACTTTTTTTTTCCTTAGATTTGCTTTCGTCTGTAATTTTATAAGGCAATGACTGCCTTCTACTTCTAATGTTCTTTCATGAAAGTTAATTTACGAAGGTGAGGTTCATCACTCTAAAAAAAATCAAACATGATAACGTAACCTGATGTGGAAATAGCATATGGCTCTTTACATTTTCCCAGAAAACATGTACATACATTTCTCTGGCCATTAAAGGAAAAAAAATATTTATTAATATGTAGTGAATACAAAAGAAATAATCCACCACCAAGATTTTCAGAGGTTCTGCAAGAATAGCCCCTATGCATGATTACGTCAGACGAGTAAATTTCACCAACAAGCCTCGTTTGTGAACAAAATTTTTTGCATTTGCACTTTTTGTGCGTGGGTATTCTTTTCAACTCTACTGCCTTGGGAATTCATTTCTGTGAAAATTCGCTTATTTTTAATTTCAAAACGAGGCTTGGTGGTGAAATTTGCTTGTGTGACATAAACATGCATAAGGGCTATTGATGTTAAGGTATAGAATTATTACAAAATGCACATGTTGTGTTCTTTTCTTTTTTTCTCTAAAACGAGATTAAATGAAATTGTACCAATAGCGACTTGTAGACTCAATTTACACCACTCAGGTTCAAAATCATGAGATTGTAGAGTATTTTAGCCACAAAACTGATATGTGAGCATGGCATTACAATCTGATATGCCGACTGTTGATGCCAGTGAGCAAGCACTCAAGTCTTTTGCTGTACAATAACGCCTGAATGACAAAGACTAATACTACTTCCATGATAGATCTGTATATTTTCTGGAAACAAAATGACTTGTTTATAGGGGACACATTTTGCGTGATTTAATTTACACATCTTATTTGAACAGGTATTGAAGCTATAAATTATGAATACATGCACACCAGTTTTCATGTATTCCCAAGAGAACTAAAAATATACATACAGTCATTTTTTCATGCTGTATATCAGTCTAATGTTCCTCAGAAACATGACATTTTAAACTCTTGAAAACTGCTAAAGAGCTTTAAATAAGGAGGAAACATTCACTCGAAAAATTAACACTTACAAGCAAATACCAACACTAGGGTAAATTTTGATAAAGGATCTTCGGTGCTAACATAGTATCCTTGCGAAACTCTGCTTGCAGGGAAATATGGATTTAACAATTCATATAAATAGTATTGATCTTTTGTTTGATAATTTCGCAATTGGTCTTCATACGTACAAATACATAGGGCATCTGGCATGACGAATCAAATTAACACATAGCGACATGTTTACAGAGCAAACTTGGCATCACTTTTTGTGTTACTCAAGGCTCTAAAAAACCTAAATGCAATCGTGCGCTCTCACAGATAGAAATTGCGACAAAAAAATAGCCTACAAAACTGGTTCTTTTCTACTAAACTTAAAAATTCGGAGGCATAAGCTTATCTTGTTGAAAGTTAGAAATTAGCTAAAGCAGGCCAAAGTAGATGTAAATTATTGTTTGGAGATACGCCAATCCTTTCGCCGGAACGTATAACAATCTCTCTCTCTCTCCTCAATCGACGACCTTCGAGAAGAAAAAGGAAACCCAACTTACCATGAGAAGAAGATGTATGATCGCTTTTTGATTCGAGTCCTCTCTTTCCACCTTTGCGTCGAATGCCTAAAACGACATAATAGACAAGGACAGCAACTCAGTTATGTCAACAAAAAAATCCCCAGATTTTAATAAACATCTCTTACTTAGAAGCCTGCTTGTTTTTCCTAAATCTTGACCCATTTCTCAAGACATCGGCACTTGCTTTCAAGGCAAAATAGGAACCAAAACACATCAACGAAACCTTTTCTGCTAAAATAATGAAATTATTTTAAGAGGGTAACACATTGCGCATGACACTGCTTTGTTTTGTAGAGACCGCTGGATGACTTGTCGCAACCTGCTTCGCAGGCTACTTTCATTTAATTAGAGGCGGCCTTAATAAGTCATTCAAGGACATATTCTATATATTTCTTGTTTTTTTTTTATAGATTATGAAAAGAATCATACTTGATCTTCTCATTTTCTATCAGGCTTGTTCATTTTTCTCACTGATTCCTGCTGATTCATAGTTTAGTATTTTGTTACTGGTAAAGCTTATTCTAAACACTATGTGATAAAGGTTTGTGTTGTGTTCTCTATCATCATCATCATCATCATCACCTTTGCTGCGAGCCCCAAAGAGAGCAGCACACTGATCTTTTTGTGCTCTTTGGTTACTTGGGTGTCCTGACGCTATTTAGGCGTTCTCTTACAATCTAGAAAATAGTTGGCTGGATGATTTTTAGCACCAGAATCATCTAAACTTGAATTTAAATGGCAACACCCTTATTGCGTATGCGCTAAGTTTCGCACATTATGACGCGCGCTAACAGCTTCAAATTATTTTCGTACGACTATGCAAACTGCCCTCTAAGGACCCAAATTACAAAGAACCTTTGATTGTATAGGACACCCTTGAAGTCCCTTATCCCACACTGTTGATTGACCCAATAATTAACAAAATGTGTATTTCAGTTCATCGTTTCTCACATGATTGTTTACTGCCCATGCCAGCACCCCATCTGTAAACTCTAGTCAGTATCTCCTAAAGATCGTTAACATTAAAATTACTCATCGTCACGGATAATTGCGATTTGCAGGAGGAGTCGAGGAATGTCAAAGTCATTTATTTTATTTTATTTTTTTTTTTTAAAAAGGCTGTTCCCTTACCGTTGACGACCTCTTTTATTTGCGTGAACTTGGAATGATGCTGGTGAGATTCCTGATTTCTCCTATTCGGTGAAGGGCTTCTTCCTGGTAACATGTGCCTATCCTCTCCGCAGTGCGGTGATAAAGTTGAATGCTTTGCTACTGCAGAGAAAGAAAACAAATATGATAATTATTGTGGTGAGAATTCGTGGACAAAGTTTAAGGTTCATTAGAATTAATTTTCCAGCTCTCAGAGGAATTTGCGCAAGCAAAACCTAAACTTTCTTTAGTTATAAGGAATCCTTGAGAGGTTTACTAGCAAACAATTTATCTGCGGCTTCTTGACGCAACATACATTGGGCAGGGGCAGCCAGCAAAATCGTGAAAAACTTCCCGATAAAAGTTTTCAAACTCTGACCCCGGGTCTCCGAGGTTGTACACCAAACCCGCTCAGAGAAATGTTTGTGGTTGTTGTTGTTGTTTTTCGAAGGCAAAAATGAAGAAAGGGTTAACTTTCCTATTATAGAGATCGTGTTCGTTTCGAACGCAGTGGCGCTGTTACGATTTCCTTAAGTACAGTCCCTGTGTTACTACTCAGACTTCGGACATCAGACAGATAAACATCGGACTTCACACATCGGAAATCTGATATCAGATATCGAACGTCGGATATCAGACGTCAGATATCAGACGTTCATCAGACTTCGGACATCAGACTTCGGACATCAGACGTCAGCCATCAGACATCGGACCTTAGACATCAGACGTCAGACATCGAACATCGGACATTGGACATCGGAAAAAGGACATCAGAAATCGGACATCAGTCATCGAACATCGGACATCAGACATCAGTGATCAGGCATCAGACATCGGTCATCGGACATCGGACATCGGACAAAGGACATCAGACATCGGACCTCGGACACAAAAAATCGGACATGAGACATTAGGAATCGAGACATCGGGTCTGATGTCTGAGATTGAGGTCTGAACTTCGAAGTCTTAAGTTGCTAGTCAGAAGTCGGGAAAATAAAATTTGAATCCCTGGTCCGAAGTCTCAATTCTGAAATATGAAACTAAACCCTGAAGTCTAAAGTCATTAGTCATGAGTCGAAAGTCTGAAAACTGAATGTCAAGTCTGAAGTTAGAAATTCAAAGCCTAAAGTCTCAAGTTTGTAATCAAGGGTCAGAAGTCAGAAGTCAATGGGCAGAAAACAGTGAAATCTACACTTCTTCCTCGGCTTTCATAAGAAAAAGAGAATCACAGAGGGCCGCAGTTTCTCTAGGGCGCTTGGAACCTGATTTGAAAGCTTTAGTGGAAAAGGTATTTGGTGTCAAGACAAACGAGCCCCATTAGAAATTTGCTTTGGTTATGTCAATCAAAAAGTGTCCGCCCCAATAGTCTTTTTTTCTACCCAGCCCAGTGGTTCGTCACCTTCAAAACAGGCGGATCAGTTGCGAATATCGTGTGAATATCACTTTCACTGCACCTAGACTATCAGAGTCCACCATTTGATCTCGCTCTTCTACGTAACGCAGTTGGAAGCGAGGCTGTTATCAATGACCTTCATCACCAGTCCCCAACGCAGCCACATAACAAGACAAAACGGTCGCATGGTAGATTGTTGCCGGCGATCAAACTGGTGACAGTTATTTGTAATACGCAAAATACAAAGTGATGTGTTTTTGTTTTTGCTTCTACATACAGATATACTGAAATTACGACAGTTACAGTAAAGAAAAAACAGGTGGTAATTCCACCTTGTTTTAAAGGCAGAAGCATTTATTGTTTTAACGAGAAAATAGAGATGTTTCGATCCAATTGCCAAAACAAACGCCTTCATCTAACTAAAATAAATAAGAGTTAGGTGGATTAAAACGGTTTGCGAATATTATATATTCGCTTAGAATTTTACAAAAAGATTATTATGCGTTTTAGGGAAAACGATCAAACAAACAGTCTTATATTATTTTTTAGAGCGAATATGATAGTGTACAATTTAAGAATTCATTGAAAACTATAGACTTATTTTAAATTACTCTAATTAATTACTTATAATCCCTATAATATGAATTCACCCAGCTTACAACAAGATTTGTATTTGCATGCAAGCGAAGTGTCGTAGTTTGAACTTCTAAATATTGTTTGCATAGGTGAAATCACTGTCAGATAACACGCTTGCATTTGCAAAATACATTCGAAGCATCCTTCACCAAATGAGAATCGTTTTCTGTAAGATACTCATGGATGATATACTGGAAAACCTGGCTCAAGACTGCTAACTACGATTGATAAAAAATGGTTTGCTAAGGAAAAAAGTTCATCTAACGTACTATTTCTGGTAATTTTTAATACTCGATAATTAACTGTCACCAAATATTTCATGAGAAAGCTAGCTAGATCGAATCAAGTCGATAACAATTAATCCCCTTTCTCGCTATGAAAAGTACTATACTTCGGAGATTTTAACTTTAAATGCTCTTTACTGATCCAAGAAGAGACGGGAAGTGAACTTCACAGTGGTAACTATGACATAACTACAAGCACCTCGAGGCCTCATTAAAAATTTTACCCTTAATGTGAAAAATTTTAAACGACGAATAATTTCGATATGTGTATGCGACGAAACCGTACCTTGAAACATTGTATTGTCCGAGCTTCCAGCATTACCCATGCCTTTTCATCATGTCGACTACCGAAAGTCTTTAACTACACCGCAGATTTAGTCAAACCAGCTCTCATCAATATTTCGCTGGTTCTGTTTTCGCTCTTTCTGTGCCCACTTAGAATTAAATCAATAATTAAAGACTTTCGAGCAGGTACTCACGAAAAGATTTTAACATAATTAGCTCGATAGGAAACCATGGTGACATGCCAGCTGGCTGGTTGATCGCTATCGTTGAAATACAAACTCCTAGGATAAAGAAATTGGTATTTTGTACGAAATCCTTCTGTACATGGAACTGCTTTTCTCTGATTAATTTTTATTTATTTACTATTTTGTTTAGGCAGCAATCTCATTTCAGTCAAAATAGTTTAGAGGCCAATAGTCTTTAAAAATGATGAAACTCGACATAGCTTCACTGACAAAAATTAGCTGAAAATGGCGAAACAATCTTTGTAATATAAATGCAGGAAATATGCTACAACAGCTGCTGTAATACAAAACAAAAGCTGAAAACGGGGATCATTTTTGAGGGAACTTGGAAACGAGTTGAATATTTCTCAGTTTACAATTGTTTTGGTTGAAAGTCAGTGTGAGCTTGCGCTAACTACAGGGTATATCATCGGCATAAATAGGCTGACTTTAACCGCTAAGTTCTCAAATTAGGTCAGACAAACTTACTTGGAAGGGTAATCGGGGTAGCACAAGTTCTTCTGCACTTTTTAGTATCCTTGCACTTGAGCACTCCTTCGAGAAAGAGCAATTCATATTATATTTTAGAAAGAAAACACCATTCAATACATTTTTTTGATAAGAATAGGAAGCTCATTTTCATTTCCAGACGTTCTATCAGTGGCAGATGAAAGTCTAGCATGTAAGTTTTCTCTAATAAGAGACAGTGGGCGATAATCTGCTTCACTTTTAGGGTGGGCGATTTTGGGGAAAGGTGGAATCCGCGTAGTTTTTCAGGTGCGAGGGAACTGAACACGTAAAAAAGGTAGGTTAAGGTACAGACACACTCGAGCCAAAGGCCCACGCGGCCAGAGCTTATTTGCGGTTTCCGTAGCATGATGCAAGCCCGGAGTATTGCTACTCCCTCCTGGACGGGATACTAGTCCATCGCAGGGTTACCCCCCGGCAGTATATATGTCGCCGGTACTCATTTATACACGTAGGTGAAGAGAGACAAAGTGGAGTAAAGATCCTTGCCTAAGGAAACAACGCAACAGGCGAGGCTTGAACCCCGCACCTCCAGATCCAGAGTTCGAGGCCACACACGCCTCCACTAAGACGAAAAAGTACACGTGTTAATGAAAGATGAATACATGAAAAGGACCAAAGCAAGACACTAGAAGAACTCCCCATCGCAAATTGTGACTGGGACATCGGACAGTGACTCATTATGAAAGGAGGTTAACTGACAAGTTTTCTTAATTTTAATTGGACCCTTTGTTGTTTTTTCACCGTTCTCGTTGCCTTCGCCGTTTAAGGTGATGTTACACGGGACGATTCGCAACGACGATTTTTAGCACAACAAGGCGTTGCAATGTTGGAACAATTATGTAGCAATTCGTTATGTTGTAACATGTTCGATATGCTAATTTTGACTATTTGGCCCTTAAAAACATCAAGGCTGGCAAACCAAGCTCTTGGATATGTCAAACGGCTGCACGCTTTTTACCCTTTTTTAAGGTCAAACACCTGAACTCGCTGGATAAATCTGCTGAAAATCTGGGCGGATGTACCATCTACAGCACCTGCCTCATGTGCGCACAATGAAGTCTTGAGGGCGAGAATCTCTATCTTGCATATCGATGATGCATCTCAAAACTCAATGTATGACCTCAACTTTTGATCAGATGTCAGCCCAGATTACTGCAAACACGTCTGACATTGTTACGTTATCTGAAGCTCAAAGGCCAAATCAGCTGCTCCTTAATCATGCTTCTGTACTTGGGTTTGTTGCCACGTATCGCAATCGAAATGTGTGCAAAGTGTGATTTCCACTGACCTGTTTTTGGCTACGCACGTTAACGCACGTAAATTTTAATTACGTAAATAAAATAGAGGCAGGATAAAAAGTGCTGAGCTTAGACGAGAAGTTGAGAGAGGTTCAACTTTTACGCTTACGAGCGACCTTTGATGCATTGCCTCCATTTTATTGGCGAACGTACATTTTATGCACGTACGCAGGTAAAAATTACGTCACACTGGGAATTAACGCTAAAGGAGGAGGGTCGGTGCATATATTAAGTAAAGTGTTAGTTTTGAGAAAAGGTTTGATATTGAAGATTTAGAGCCTTATTTTGAGCGCTTATGGCTTATAAAAAGTTTTCTGGTAAGAAGAGGAATAGCAAACTCCTGATTGGTACAATGTATCACTCAGAGCGTATCCTCGACACATAAGTATGGCTGGATAAATTTTATGATCTTCTATCAACAATATAATGATATCATCTTGGGATGGAATTTAATCAGTGACTGGGGGAATGAATATTAACCTGGGCTGGGTTGTTCAAAGTTAGGTTAAGAAAACCCAGCCTGTTATTGTGAAATTTTAATTCAAATTTAAAGGTTTAAAAAGCATATTAAGCTTAATTCGCTTTGGCTACAATTTTTTGATTCGAAGATCTAAAAAAAAGCACAAAATTGTCCGAGAAAATGCTTTTGAACAAAAGTAAAGGAAATTAAAATTAAAATTTAACCCCAGGTTAACGCTAATTGGCCTTTGAACAACTGGGCCCTGTTGGATCCGACATCCAAATGCCGCGCTTTCATGCAGTACAGAGATATCTTACAGGCACTGAACTTGACGCAGCATTATGATTACGAAACCAACTCGTGTTATCCCTACCTCTAAATCCTTAGTCGACCATATTATCTCCAATGAGGCATCGAGGGTTGTTCATTCTGTTGTGCTGCCCTCCCCTTCTATAAATGATCATGACGTCGTTTATGCAATGGTCAATGTTCTTGTCATAGCATACGCACCCCGTAACAAGCACATGCGTAATGAGAGACAATCCACTGAATCTACGTTCAAAAACAAGACTTCTCCACTTTACCTCTGGATACAATTTATGGTGTATAATCACCCGACGATATGGTGGTCATATTAAATTCTCTCATCATTGAGATCGGCATGCACCACCAAGGAAAATTAAAGTCACCCGACTCCACCTGCCTATATCCTAGCCCTAGACCCGATCGAGCCGACCCAGATCAGTTGAATCGTCGTTTCATCTCGAAAGCACAGAGAACTTTGGGTGCCGTATCAGACACGGTCAGAGAAGTAGTGAATTTGGTAAACACCCTTCCTGATCCTAACGGACATCCTTAAGGTATCCGGTGGAGAAGTGATGAAAGAACCAAGGCAAATTCGATCAGACTGGTCCAGTAAAGTATGTCAACCTCGTTGGTGACCTACTCATGAGTCCTCTCAAACACATACGTACAATATTAATGCCGCCAATGTTCTTTCACTATTACTGACATAAAGAAACATGCAGAAGTATGAGGGAGAGGGTGAATCTTGCTTCTCCTGTCTCAGTGAGTCAAGGAAGTCTGGCCTGGAGAGGATTAACATAGGATTTCAAAATCCTACGGAGGATTGGGACAAGAGGGGTGGTGGGGGCGTTTAATAATGCCAGTAGAAATCGGGCATCAGGAATTGCGTTGGCCTGTTGCGGTTGCGGATGAATGTTACCAAAGTGGGGACGTTTGTACGATTCAGTGGACTATGGAAAAGATATGGGGACGAGTTATATTGAAGAAATGGGCTTGACAGAGCCACTTTCTTTCTTATCAATAACAAAGTATCAGTGTAGTATCTGTACTGCTTTTGCATCACAGCGAGATACAAAACCGTTCTTGGTATTATTAATGAAAGCGATATTTTCATTCCCCCTAATGAACTTAACACCAGGCAATACAACGTTTATGAAATTTAAAATAGCTCTTACGGACGCACAGAACGGCTAGTAATCGACTGAAATTGTTCTTTTAGCAGAACACAATTATTAGCTTTCACTAAAGCAGATTTTGCACAGTTGCTTCAACATGGAGGTCACCAAAGTGAATTCGCAATGTTCGAACACCTGCCGTTTACTCGCCTTTATAGTTCCACAAACCAACAGTATGACCACCTGATCTTTATTGTCGTTTCAACTGTAACTTCTCCGAATTAGCGCTCTTAGTGTTCTGCGTAGCATTTCTAAACAGTTTTTTTTCTTCGAAGCGCTCGCTCAAGGACCTGATGTGACCTAACGAAACGACTGCCTCTCTGAGAATTAGAACTTGATCCAGACTATATTACAAAAAATCGAGTCAGAGTTTCTTTCTGCTAAATGTTCGTGACCATGCTTTTCGGAAATCGAGTTTAGGATGCGTTCTCATGTTGAAAGCTAAAAAAACACGAAATGAGCCATTAGTGGCATTCAAATGAAGGTAACAGCCACAATTCAAATCAAATTGTATTCCGATTTCAAAAAAACAAATGTTTCAAAGGATATAATTTTAATACCATTTCCTTTACTTAAAATCTATAAACACTATATGAGGTCAAACACATTTTGGGTTATTACTTCAGTTTATTGATCGGTCATGCACAAGCTAATAATCTTGAATTTTACACATACTTTGTTCATCAGGTGAACATATCTTTGGAATCAATAGCTTTGCAAATTTTTGTTACCTATTTTATTCATGTATGCCTTCATATTGATCAACCGATTACACGACTGATTAGGTATAATGACATATTTTTAAAAAATCATCCAAACAGCAGCGTAACTTTTCAGTGCACTTACACCACATAAAATCTATTATCTACCATTTATTCCGTCATAAATTATTGATGATATTAGGAAGTCTGAGAATCATTTCATAAGACTCCTCACGTATGGTATATAAAACACATCTTGAGAAATGACAGGCTACTGTCGTAATGGACGGGGTTGCAAGAATGCCTAGCGTCGTTGAGTTGCTCATGAGTGTAGGAGACGCCTGCTGTGTGGCCGCAGTGTTAAGTGGAGGGAGACAGTTGAGTTTTCTATCCTGAAAGAGATTGTTTTAAGGCATTACATTGTCAATAAAGGAAGTATGATAAACTGGTTGCCGTTATC